TAAGATTTATTAAAATCACTCAGACCAGAAAAGCTTCTAGTTTGGGGTCAAAATGTCCTTCTCTGAGAGAATTCGAAGTCTTCTGGGTGTGGTGCCAAAGGAACCCAGCATCCTTTTGAGCAAGAGGCAGTTAAAAGACTGGTTATAGCCTAAGCTGGAGGCCCAGAGGACCCACTGTGGGTCCTCAGCCCACAGTGACTGTTGTGAGGGTTGTGAGGGCATATTGGAAGTTACCAGGCTGAGGACAATGAATCTGCTTCTCTGTGCGCCCTCATACCCACAATTTTTTTCATACCTCTAGCCAGCCTGAGGTGCGTATCTGATTTGTGGGAGTGACATATGTCCCCCCAGGGGAACTATACCCCCTTAAGCTTAGGGTACCAGGTCCCTGCTATCTTTCCAGCTGGTGAAGAATGATTTTCCTGCAGGTAGCAGCATGCACCCTCTGCCCCTATCCCTGCCATTTCTAGCTCATTCATCATCGAATCAATGAGTGTCTTACTGACTTGCTGTGAGTCAGGCCCTGAGTTAAGGACTGACACATCCAGTTCCCTCAGTCCCGAAGCATTCTGAATATCACCATGGTTTCTCTTTCCATTTGACAGATGAGTGGACTCAGAGAGGCTGAGGAGCTTGTCAAAGTCCACTAATCTAGTTAGAGAGGATCAGGGCCCTGCCCTTCACTTGGTCCAGGAGGGATTTGCTGGGTTGGTCTTGTCAGCTCCTCAGCTTTCGTGATGCTGCAAGCATGGTTGGCTTTCCAACCTGCCCACCATCCTTTCTCTGAGAGGCCTGAGTTCCATTGTCATCACGTCCCCATCCCCCTCCATGGCTTATTTCTCCCAGGTGAGGAGCTATGTGACATTTCTTGCCCCCACAGCATCCACAGACAAGTGTGGCAGTGGAGATGAGTCAGCAAGGGAGGGCAGCCATGGGGGTGTGAGTTGGGGATGGCTAGTTTACACTAGAGGAGAGGAGGGAAGCAGGGAGCATGAGGGAGGGAGGGAGAGAGGGACAGCCTGGGAATTACCAACCCCCCTTCTCCTTCAGACACCCCAAAGCTGTGTTCAGCCTAAAGCTACCTTAAAGGTCCTGGCCAGGCAGGCTCAGAAAGAAGAGACTGTGGAAGTGAGAGGAGCCAGGAAAGGAAACTGACCCAGCTCAACTCACTCTTTGGGGTATCAGAGGAGTCAGCTTCTGCTTGGGCCTCAAAGGTACCCCCCCAACCCTGTGGCAGCCGAAGCTCACCCTGGCTCAGCAGATGTCACTTTACTTCACTCCGGCAGCGGCAGCAGCAGCAGCAGATTTCTGTGTACATTTCCAAGTTAAAAGCTCATGACATACTGCATGAGTTCCTAAGACTCTTAAAAGGTCCACCCCAGTCCTCAAATCTAACTTACAGAGACATCAGAGGCTCAGAGATGCGGAACTGCTGGCCCACGGTCCCATAGCCTGGATTTAAACTTACGTGTGTCCAATATTCCCAGGCTCATCTACCACCGAACTCAGACAGTCCGGTCTTCCTCTAGCATGTCAAGGGTGGTGGCACTGCTGAGGCATTTCTGCATGGGCCCTGCTCTAAAGATCACTCCCAGTGCTCACCCCCATAGCCTTCTCTGTTCTCTGCTAACCCTGCTCTAACTGCAACCACCTTCTATTTTAATTATTGTCACTGTTATTATTATCGTGTGTGTGATGAGGGTACGCACGGCACATATGTTGGCATCAGAGAACAGCTTGGTAAAGTCAGTTCTTCCCTTCCACCTTTATATAGGGTACAGGGTCATTAGGCTTGTGCAGCAAGCTCTTTGCCTACTAAGCCATCTCTCTGGCCTGCATGCTTTTTTGTTTCATTTTGAGATGAGGTCTCATATAGCCCAGGCTGGTCCTGAACTCCTTATGTAGCTGAGGATGTCCCCTGAACTCTTGATCCTCCTGCCTCCATTTCTGGAGTGCTGGGATCACAAGCATGCATGCATCACCATGCCTGCACATGAAAGCATATTCTCTCCCTCAGGGACCACAGCCCAGAAGTAAGTTGCATGCCCCTCCCCCATTGCTCACACCCACCTGCACACAGCCCTGGCACAGTCACCACAAGTTTGCATCCTCCCTCCCTCTAGAGCACAGAGGTACGGCCTTTCTTGCTGAGGGAGCCCAGGAAGGACAGAGGGAGCAGCAGCTGCTGGGTCTCTGCGGGAGTGACCCTCACTGTTTGGCCACTCCCCATCTTCCGAAACTCCTGAGGCTTTCCGCAGAACATTTTAGCACATTCGAAGTCCAGCCTCTACAGGAACAATACAAATCCGAGTTTCAGGCTCTAAGGAGTAGTGATGGCTGCCTGCCCCTTTCCCTCCCAGATGCAGCAGAGGGTCACGGGAGTAGAAAGTTTTCATGGCCTTGACTCTCAGAGTCCACCCAGGCTAAATACCCAGGGTGCTTCATGTTGCCACGTGCCTGACCAGGTAGGCGTGCCTCCAGCCGATGGAAAGGTGAGGTAACTCAGAAACATGTTTGAACAAAGGGCTCAGCATGCATTCCCTCTTACACTGCCTGGAACCTCGGGACACCCCATCCGTCTCCGTTTATTGGTCGAGGAAATGTCAAGGGCTGAGCGGTGGTCTTAGGAATGTCCTTAAAGGAATGCACACACTTTTGGAGAAGTGCGAGAAAAGGTGAGCAGCCTAGGGGAAATGGGCGGCGAGGTGGGTAGGTAGTCTGTTGCTATCTACCCTGAGCACTTTGTGTCTGGCAGCGTGCAAGCAGAAGCCAGAGAGAGAGAGCTGGTGAGACACAGCAGAGGGGCCTGCACGTGGCGGTGCTGGTGTCCACGCCCTCTGAGCCCTGTCAGTTCCCTCTGAGTTCTCTCAGTCTCCAGCTCCATCGTCTGTGCCGTGAGCAGTTTCCCACCTGTAAGATCACGGTTAGGGATCTGTCCTCCCAACAGGTTGGGAGTCCTCTGGGAACAGAGATGCCCTCCTATCAACTCCAAGGCCTCAGCACTTTACCTGGCACACAGGGCCCATCTGGATAGCTATGCCTTTTTTTTTTTTTTTTTTTTGCAAATCATTATGGGGCTTTCAGCTCCCTATACATGGGCGTGGAAACCCCAGAACACAGATGGGGTTATAGGCTCTGTCTATACCAAGCACCACTGAAGGTGTGACCCCTGCCACTGGGGAGCCTGTCTGGTTCTGCTCGAATGCTGCTAGCGACAGTGAGCTCACTGCTTCTACTATGGCCTCTTCCTCAAGGAATGGTATGAGACATTATCATTAGGTCCAGCCTCTGGAATTCTGCCTCCAGGTCCTGCCTCTGGTGAAACACTGAGAAGTGTCTCCTAGTCTAGGAGGTGCTCAGGGACAACACTGGGTTCCAGTGACACAGCCCAGAGCCCTGCACGCTGAAGGGACAGATGGCACAACAATGAATTCATTATTCCATCTCTGCCCAGAGGTGAGACTCTGAACTGTTCTGGGACCAGGTCACAATGAAACTCTCAGTGAGGGACAAGTGAATTGATGTGCATTTCTCTCCACACACCTCAAGGCAGGCCTGATCCAGAGCCACAGACGTGACTGGCTGAATGATTCATTCATTACTGGCCATCACTAGCCAGGTGTTCAGCGAGAGCTGGTGGCAATGTGGGAAGGGAATTGAGTTGCCTTGGTAATCAGGAGGCTAACAGCCACGAAGAGCTAGCTTGCTATGTGCCAGGCATTGTTCTGTTTACTTCCTTGCAAAGGGCACAGCCCCTCCTGGCAAGCCCTAGCGGTTGGGAGGGCCACGGAGCCTGCCTGGTACTTTAGCACCTCACAGAGGCTTGGTAAGCCTGGGCTGCTGCCTGTAACTGGAAATCCCAGCATCAGCTACAGGACACTTCCTGCTATATGCCACACCTCTTTGTAGATAAGGAGTTGAGACTTGAAGAGGTTAGGTAACTTGTTTACCCAGGGCTAAGCTAAAAGACAGAGCCAGGATTTGAACCCAAGTAATTCTGGTCCTGTAGCCTGGAGCAGAAAAACAGAGCAAAACTCAGGAGCCAGAGGCACACTTCTTTACCTTCAGCCTTGCTTCTCTCCATCCCCACCCTCCCTCCCAGGCCTACTGTGGTTCTAACAGAACCCAGAGGGCAAGATCCAGGGGTTCCTCTGAGGAAGAGGCAGGATCCTGGGCAATCTACAGCTATAAAGAGCCTCTCAGGGAGTCCAGAGCCAGGCAAGGGATGGGGTGTTGTGGGAGCCTGTCTTTTTAGTCTGAGAGGCTCCTGAAGACCTCTTAGGACTCCTCAAAGCTCACCCAGAACACTCTCTTGGCATGGGCTGAGACAGAAGGCTGTTTGTTTCCCCCAACAAATAGTCTGCGCCCCAGATAAGACTCCAGCCCTGCCACAAGCAGCACACGGCACAGCGACAGGGGTCTAAGGTCTCAGTGGTGAGTGACTGTCATGAGGCGGTCACACCAAACTGGGGAGACAAGGGTGGCCCGGGTGACAGAACGCCCATTCTCCAATATCTTCGGGCCTAGGCAAAGTATTAATGACTCACGGTTTTGTGAACTGGACAAATCCTGTAAACCTCCTGGGCTGTTGGGAACGCTAGGATTTCGTTCTTGAAAGTATTCTAGCAAACGGTGAGCACTGTTTTTAACTGTGTTGTTTCGCAAACTGGAACCCTGCCAGCCAAAGCCAGCCCGGGCTTGAGAATGGGTGTTTTCCTCAACTCGCAGGGGTAGGTTTGCAGTCCCGGGAAAGGGGCGCTGTCTTCCAAACTTCCGAGAAAGTCCTGGGTGGCGCAGCGGCAGGGTGTCCCCCATACGGGGATCCCCTGGCCGAGCGTGGGTGCGCCCCCCGGAGGCCGATCCCTTCAGGGCCTCGGCTGCAGCCCCGGGACCCCCCCAACCCCTCTGTGCCCGCCCCGGCCACCTCGGGGGCGAGGCAGCCCAGCGCGTGGGAGGGGACGGCGCGCCATTGGCTTGTGCGCGGCACTAGAGGAGGGACCAGCGCGGGCCGCCAGACTCGGGCGAGCCTGGAGGCACAGAGTCCAGCCTGCCCTGCCCTGTCCTGCCCGCCCAACGCGGCGCCGCGATGTGAGACTTCCCTGGGGCCGGAGCGTCCGCAGGGCACGCCAGTTCCGCGAGCGCAGCACCCCGCGCGCTCCGCACGTAAGTCCGCCGCCAGCCTCGCACTTCTCTGCCGCTGCCTGCGTAGCGCAGCCCGGGGACGCCGGGGGCCTTAGGGGAGCGCCGAGGTGCAGTGAGCACCCCGCGCACGCAAGTCGGGAGCCGGGACGGCTTGGCACCTGCGGGTCTGCGGGCGCCCTGCACCTCGAAGCCTCGTTCTCAGTCCTTTTTTTGTTCGTCCGCTTCAACTGACTCGGTTTCCCTTTCTCCCTCAGCTCCTCTTCTCCTCCACATCCTCCCCCCCGGGGCTGTTTATTTCGCCCTCGGCCTCCTCCCGGGCTCTAGCTCTTTGATTCCAAGCGGGAGAGAGCGGCGTGTGAAGCAGTTTTCTTCGATCGCGGGGTCTCCGCCTTGGTTCTCGGTCCCCTCCCCCTTTCTCGCCGCCGCACCCCCTCCCGCCTTTGTTTCCTAGCCCGAGGATCGCGCGGTGCAAACTTGCGAGTTTCCGGGTCCTCGCCCCCACCGGGTGCGGGGGCGGAGGAGGTGGCGGGGTTCCTGCTGCCCACTGGTCTGGCGGGACCTTCTGTGAGGGTGCGGGGGCTGAAGGAGCCGCGGACTCCCGCCCCACAAAGTGGGGGAGTGTCGGCAGCGTGGAGGTGACGGTTAGATCGGAGGGGAAAGGGGCAAGGCCGGTGACATTTCCCCGAGTCCCTGCTGGAGAGGAGCGGGCAGAAACCTAGCTGGGCCAGACCGCAGGGGGTTCAGGAGAGTATCGCAGGTGATCCGGGGCGACCCCTTCTCCCCCAAGCCGCGGGGTCCCCTGTGGAGGAGCAGCGTGGGGCCATTGTCCGGCGCAGGATGGATCAGGGTCCCGTGTAGTGCGCATAAAATGCTCCGCGCGCCATCCCTTGAGCCACCTCAGGACCAGGCGTTCGTTTTGGGTCCCATCTCGCCTCCTTGCAGCCTGGGTGGAGCGAGCTTCTCCCGCCCGTGGGGTTGGAGGAGCAGGGAAGGCCCAGGACCCGCCCCCACCTTGCTTCAAAGTCTGAAGCACACTGCCAAAGCCTCCTCAAGCTCGCACTTCCTGTTTCGTTTCTTTTAGACAAACTTTCTGGATGGGGCCTGGCTGGCTTGTAGAAGTCCCTGGGTTGCAGGGACACCCACCCGGCTGTGTCGCCCATCTGCAGGAGGCTCCTGGAGAGATCCCGCCGGTCTCCCGCCACCTGCAGCCGGCGGGACTGTGGTGGGTTCCTGCAAGAATCCGGAGGAACACCACCTGCCCTTTAGCGGCAGTCCCAGGCTCGGTTCGAAGCAAAACATTGTTTTCCTGTTAGGTCGTTGGCAAATAAGAATATTCTTCAGGTTTCTGCCGCCACCTTCGTACAGACGGCGCCCTTTTCCTAGAGTTCTCTCTGATCTCAGTGTCCTAGGAGCTCTGGCTCCTCTTCTGTAAGACTCTCACGTCTGGGTGCCTCTTCTTGATTCCCCCTGCTTTGACCTTTTCCGGCCCAGGACCTCTGTGGCTCCTGAGGCCCACCCCCAACTCCCAGCCTGGACTTGTTGTGACAGCCCCCTCTGCTGGCTAGGACCAGGGTCTTCCATTATTCTCGACTTCTGTATGTTCTTTCACTGCCCCGAGTCGCTGTGAGCACTACACAAAAGAGTGATGGCACAAATGGCCAGCACAGGTCCCACAGGTCCCTGCACACCTGTGGAAGCGGAAAAGACTCTCCTCTTGGTGGTGCTGTGGCCTAAGCAAGGAGAGGCAGATAAATAATAAGTGAGCAGATTTCGCCATGTCAGTGCCTTGGTATTGTCTCAGTACCCAGAAGGCTGAGGCAGGAAGTGTTTGTGTTCCAGGCCAGGCTGGACTATGTAAGAAGGCCCTGTCTCTGAAAGAAAGCCAGGGTCAGGGGAGCATGTAGAATTTTGGGGTGTTGAGGACATTTTAAAGAGTGGCCAGTCCTGCAGAACAGCCTGTGCAAAGCCTGAGGGGGCAGGGAAGAGAAAAGGAGGTATTGGAGAGGAAGGATGGGGTCCCAACCCATCAGATAGATGAGAGAGGTGATATTAAGAGAAAATTCGTAAGCTGGCACCCCTTCCCTCCAGCGGGGGGGGGGGGGGGGGGGGCAGCCACAAGATGGTCATTTTGTTCTGAATCCAGGAGGGAAGGCCTCACCCCCAGTAGCATTCTCTGTGTCCCTCCCACAGCCAGGGACAGCCACAGGCTGAGGGCCCTGGAAACTCCCTGTCTCCCAAGACCCTTATGCCTCTGGACACCTGCCTCCATCAGTGTGCTGGGTCCTGACCCAGAGTCACCCCACTTCACTTCCTCCTGATACTACCCTCTTTAGAACACCCTGTTTCCAGGGACCTTTTTCGGAGTGACTAACCCCCTTAACCACCGAGAAAGAAAGTCTCAGTCTTGGACTGGGATCCCCTGTGATCTCTGCCCAGGGGAAAGCAGGGCTTCAGACCATCTAGTCTGGAGACACTGGTTTAGCATGGACCGTGCCTTCATGGAAGCCCCCAATTTCCCCCTGTATGTTGCTGAGCAGCAGGGGAGGGGTTTGGAGAGGGATGACAATCGTGGGGGAGTGGACACAGGAGAGCCCTAGTTCTGTGGGAACTAGAAGCAAGGTTGTCCTGGTGGATGACGGAACCAGCTGCCCTTGAGGGCACTGGCTCGGTCACCAGGCCCCAGGGAGGCTGGCCCACTCAGGGTTGAAAAGGGCAGGAATTCTCCATGCTGCGCCTTGTGTTTTGCAAGTGACAGCAGGACAGGAAAGGCCATGTCAGTGGCTTCTGAGTGGTGAGACGCTGTGTGAGAAGCTGGCCTTGGCTTCTCAAGGCTAGACAAGGCAGCAGCTTCAGACCTCTCGGTGAAGGTGAAGCCCTTCCCCCAGGGGTGTGGCTCCCAGGCCTGGGCCCCATCCACCCTCAACCACACAGCAAGAATCATTTATTTTTTGTCCCCTAAGTTCTGAAAAAATATGTGTCATAAGTCAGGGCTTTTCCTCCGTTCCTCTGGAAATCATCCACCTTCCACAGACAGAGAGAGGACTGTGGAGAAAATAAAATCTCCACAAGGTAGTATGAAAGGCAGGAAAGCTGGGCATGGCCTGGTTGAAATGCAAATGAATGTGCTTGTATAGCTGGGGTCAGGGCTCTTGAGACCACACTTCCCACCCACACAGAAAACTGTCCTGATGGCACGCCCTGGCTCATCATGCCAGTGACCTCAGCTGTCCTCCTCGAAGCACAGTGACTCAGGGCACCCTGGCCTCCCAGTGGCAGGGCAGACCTCGAGGCTCCAGATCCCAATCCAGGGTCCTGAAAGGTTAGAGGAACCTGGCAGGGACTCCATAGCTTTGTCACTGGGATGGGTCTGTCGCCACGGCTGCCATGCTAAGGGCTTTCACATCGAGGCCTTTGTCTGCTGGCTCCCCTCTTTGTCATCTTCACCTTTCACAGGAGCTTAGGGACAACGGAGCTGGTGAGAGGCGACAGCCCACCGCCACTGCTCTGTCCACCCAGGCAGCCTATAGAATAATTCTGTTCTCCGGGGACTGAGGCGTGGCTCGGCTGTTAGCACGCCCTGTGCACGGTAGCATTGCTTCCATTTCCCCGTTGCTTGGGCCTGGAAGATCTCTAGTGAGACCCGTGCAGCAGAGGACATTGTCTGTATTGGTACCGCTGCCTGAGTCCTGTGACCCTTGGCTTTGTGGGTGAGGAGTGGCACCCATTTGCAGGAAATATGGTTCCTCACAGGACAGCAGGGCTGCCTGAGTCCAGGTCTGGGAATGCAAGCGTAGGGTGAGAATGTGGTTAAGATGTGGGTCACTTTGCCATGGGGCCTGAGCAGTTGGTTCCTAGCCAGTTTTTAGACCTCCATTTTGTCCCAGACTACAGGGAAGAGACAGATGATTCAGGCTCTGGGGCCCAGGACAGAGTCTTCTCTGCCTACCCTTTAGCAGGCCCTCCAGACTCTGAAGTCTGCTTCTCCATGTCCTCACTTGGATGCAGCGCTGTTTAGACCTACTTCCAGCTATTCTACAGCGAAGACATAACAGTACAATGGGCTCCAGTCTGAGGCACTAGTTCCCACAGCCCCGCCCTCATCACAGGCCAGATTTGGGGTGGGGGGAGCACTTCAGACATTGGGAGTACACCATCACTTCCAGGGGAGGGTGCTCTGGGAGATGGCTTAAAACTCAGTTATGTTTGGTGGGGGGAGCTCCAAGTTCATGGAACCCTCTACTGTAAGGCACTGGTGCACAGATAAACACAGACATTTCTTCCCCCCCCCCCCCAACCCTTCGATCCTCTCAGGAGATCCAAGGAAAGCTCAGCTCACAGTGAACTTGAATTCTAGCTCTGCCACACCCTCCAAGCCACAGGAATCCTAAATAAGTAAGTCACTTGGGCTTCAGTGCTCTTGTCTGGAAAATGGAGTGGAAATATGGCTGTTGTCACAGGCAATAATGTGGACTTCAGGGGCTCCCCAGGCCCGATATGCTGGCAGCTGGCTGCTGTCCGAAGCTTGGGCAGGACGAGTGGGCAGCTCTCTCCTCACCAGCAGGAGGACGGTTGCAGCCCGCTGCACCTGTGTGCACGCTGGAGAGGAAGTGGGTCTCTGGCTGAGGGGCTGCGGCTGTTACAGGGAGGAAGTCTCCGGAGCAGCTGTGGGTGTTCTGGGTCCCTTCTTCCCCTCCCTCTCCCAGGCCAGCAGGTTTCCTAAGCCAGTCCCCCTGGGCACAGCCTCCCTGTCGGGACAGCTCTGCAGGCCATTGGTTTCTATGGCAACCAGGCTTCCTGGGAAGGATGGGGAAGTCCTCCAGGATCAGCATGGGGGGGGGGCATGCCTCATCAGGTCTGCTCCCCAGAGCCGAGTCTGGCTACAAGTACATTAATAACACAAATTTTCGCTGTTCTTGGTAGAACAAAGACCAGGGGCCCAGCTCTCATTGTGTTTCAAAGGCCTGCTGAGTAGACTTCACTCCGGTTTCTTAGATGAGGACTTGGAAGCTCAGAGAGGTTAAGTGATTTTCCTGGGGTCACAGAGGAGTGAAGAGAAAGAGTCAAACTTTGAATCCAAGGTTTCCTAGCCAAGAGTGTAGTGGTGTACACTTTTAATCCCCAGCACTCCAGAGGCAGTGGCAGAGGCAGGCAGATCTCTGAGTTCCAGGCCTGGTCTACAGAGCTAGTTCTAGGACAGCCAGGGCTACACAGAGAAACACTGTCTCAGAAAAAACAAAACAAAAACAGGAAAAATAATTTAAAAAGAAGAGGTGTTCGTCATCTTCTGGCCATGTACCCTCAAGAACCCCCCTTTTCCTGTCTTAACACATCCACTCCCTTGCCACCTAAAGAGTGACCAGATTGGAAGTCAGCCCTGCCTACATCCTTCTCTGTCCTGGGCCATCAGCTCATGTAGTTTGGGGTAGACCTCTCCCCATGGGCCTTAAGTTCCTGCCTGTTCAGTGTGTGGTAGGATCAAGAGCCTGCCCTCTCTCTTTCTCTGGCTGTCCCCAGAGACTGCAGAGATAGGGAGGCCTGGGCTTTGAGGACAGATGCTCTGAGGAGCACAGCCCCTCTGCTCTTCTGCTGGGTCAGCCTTTGGAACTGGGAAAGGGGAAGTGAGGGGACAGCTGAGCCCTGAGGAGGCTGGGTAGAGCTGGCCTGCTGAGGGCAGGGAAGAGGGCTCTGAGTTAGTGTCACTCGCAGAAGGCTGGAGAGTTGCTGGGGGGAAGTCTGCCAAGCGGTCTGACAGGGACAGCAGGCTGGACACCATCTACTGGGCACCACAGCTATGAGCATGAGGGTGGATGATTAGCTCCCCTCCCCCCTCCACAGTCACAGTGGGGATGTGGTGCCCCTGAGAGCAGCATGCAGGAAACCAGGCAGGTCTGTGTGAGTGACAGGGGCCTTTCCCACCCTTCTCATCTCGGTGAGGAAAGAAAGGTCAGTAGGAGGGAGGACAGACCCCGCCCAGGGGAAGGCTCTTGGCTAGAGGGTACCCGCCTACATTCACTGGCACTTCTGCCTCTCTCTTCCCCTATTTCACAGAGGGAAACTGAGGCTGGGGCTGATGTCGTGGCTCTTCTAAAGCCTACAGCTCCTAAGTGGGTAGAGCCAAGATTCAAAGCCAGGTTCACTGGCCCAAAGCCAGTGTGTGGCCAGGATTCCCAGGAATGTCTTGGGGGTGGTGCCCTCACTTATATTAAAATGATATCAGGCCTGAAACCCTTGGCAAAGAGCTTTGGTAGGGAAGAGTGGGGGAGGGGAGGCCAGAAGGCTGCAGGTGTGTGTGTGTGTGTGTGTGTGTGTGTGTGTGTGTGTGTGTGTATGTGTGTGTTGGTGGGTGAGTCACGGGGCAGAAGAAAACAGTGCCACCATCTGGGATGTTTCCGGCCCGTCAAGTAGGGACATGATAGAACTAGTCTTTTACTGGGCACTGAGGGCTGGGTGTTTGGTCCCATGTGATGGGAAGGTGCTGGTGAGGCCAATGTCCTCGTCCTCTCCGTCAAGAGCTCCGGCCCAGGGTGTAGGGGAAGTGCTGGGGAGGGTGGTGGTATCCTGTCTAATAACTGCCGTCTTCACTGCACACTCTCCACGCCAGGGTAGCAGCGACCACAGACCTGAGGGAGGCAACACTCTTCTCAGTGTTGTGTGAGTTAGCCCCTTCTTTCCCCACATGAGTGGGGAGACTGAGGCACACGGGCAAAACAGCTGGCTTATAGGTCCACGTAAGTGTTTGGAGACCTCAGGTGTGAGTCCAGACAGGAGAGCGGGCAGCCGTCCTGCTGTGGTCCCGACAGTCACTTTCTGAATTCCTCTTCTGTCCTGGGTCTTGCTTCTCCTTAGGTCTGGTTGATAGTGGGTGTGGGCGGTTGCTGCCCTATCTGAGATAAGAACACTAAAACTCAGAGGGAAGAAGTAATCCTCTCTAACAACTGATGACAAGCTGCCCTGTTCAGGGCACCTCACTGCCGATGCCTGACTCACAGAGGGCTTTACTGCCTGGGTTCTCTCCTGTGCAGGTGCCGCTCTGAGCGCTCTGACCCCAGTGGCTCATTGTGTCAAGGTCTTAGGAAGTTGGAGCTAAAGTTCTATTTCACAGGTGAGGAAACCGAGGCTCAGATTAATGAGGTGACTCTCCCGAGGTCACGAGACTGGGGAGGGACCCAGCAGGAATGAGTCAAGCAGCCTGGCTTCTTGAGAAAGTTTAAGAATTCAGGGTCCCCAAAGACTGGGGCTAAAATAGAAATGGCCTACAGCAAGCTTTGGTTGTCAGGAGCGTGGAGGAACCGGAGAGCATGTGTGTTGTGGAAGGCATGTGAGGTTCCCTGGCTGTTTACTTTGTCCACACACTTCCGCAGGCCCATTCTGGGCCGTTTACCTCAGAGGCCTGGAAATGTATGGGTCCACCAAAAACACACAAAGGAAGGCCAGAAACAACCGGATGTTCCTTGTTTGCAGCGTCACACAGAATACTGATGTGCACTAAAAAGGAATGGGCAACTGGGGCACTGGGCCTGGCTGATCTGGGAAAGGCATCCAGCTGGGTGGGGGAAGCTGAGCACGTAGATGTCCATATGCTTTGTGGTTCTGTTTTTTTTTTTTTTTTTTTTTTTTTTTTTTTTTTTTTTTTTTTTTTTGCAACGTTTGAGGAAAATCTAGACCAAACTAGAGTGACAGACCTCGGGCCTGTGACGCAGGGTGTGCCTGGGATGGCACATTGCCGTCTGGACAGGTGAACCCACCGCGCCCTGTCTCCTGTCCTGGAGGTGATAGTCGCATGAATTATCCCCACAGTCATTTCTGCCTGGGTTAAAACGAAGGGTCGGAAGGGACATGGGAAGGATGTGACCAGGTGGCCAGTCCTTTGAGGAGGCAGGCTGAGCTCTGCATCTTTGTGTGGTCTGGCAGACGGAGGGTTAGGGATGGTCTGGAGTGGGTGTCCAGTCTGTTTGGGGTCGAGAGAAAGTGGTGACCTGGGCTGGGGCTTTGGCTCCACTTGGGGTCACAGTGTGACTGAAGGGACAGCCCTGCTTTCCCTTGGGGGTTCTAAGTACCTCTGTGTGGGGCCTAGGCAGCCTTTGTAGTCCAGCACCCCCGGGGGGTATAGGAAAAAGAGCCACTCATTCACAGAGCCAGGGCTGGGTGTCGGGGCCTGGTGCCCAAGCCTCGCTCTGCTCTCCCCGAAGCCCCAGCAGGGACTTCTGCTGTCATTTTGAACGAGAGCCACAGGACCTCTTCGTAGCGTATCCACTGCGCCCTGGAACCCTCACAGTCTGTGCCTTTCTGCTCTTGTATTTGTCGGGAAAGTTTATTTCATTTCAAGACTCTGGCAGCCTTGAAAGGGAACCTGGGTGATCTGGGGACATTTGCTCAGGGACATGGCACTGGGTAGCAGGTGGCTTGGAGGAGGGAAGACAGCTTCCGAGCTCTGCCTTGGAATGAGCTTGCTGGACAGTGTTCTGGGTGGAAATGAATGAGATGCCCGTGTACAGAGGACTCTTGGCACTGGCTGGAGGGCTGGTGGGGCAACCTGTACAGTCTGGAGGAGCTCTCCTCAGAGACTGGAGCTGCCTGGGGTCAGCCAGAGCCTCACCGTGTTCCCCTCCATGCCCTGTCTCCTCCCCTAGAGTGTGAGGACCAAACACAGGAGAGGGACGCTCTTCTTGGACCCTAGTACCCATCTCAGCATCTGGCTCGCTGCCCATCTCACAGTACGTGCCCAGGACTGGCCTGTGGTATTGCTGGGGGTGGCAGGGCTGGGGGCTGTGGAAGGTGATGGGCATAATAAGTGGGGTGGAGGCTGTGAATGCCAATGACAGGGAGTGGGTGGGGTCTGGGAGGTGTGGCCACTACCTGAAGCCTCCTTTTCTGGGCTTAATGCCTCCTTCCCTTGTGACTAACCCCCTCCTTCTCCAGGTCCAGTGAGGGCTGTCTAGGGGTTGGAAGGAGCATTGGGCCAGCTTGCTGGCAGTGGGGATTGTCTGGGCAGGTCCATGTGGCCCAGAGCCCAGGACTTAGGAGGCTCACTAAGTTTGGACAGTTTCTTACCTCTCTGACATTTCCTTTGTCTCTACAACCCAGAAATCTTGTCAGTGAGATGCATCCTGGTCCAAATGCCTTTTCTAAAGCCCATATGCCTCTCCAGGGCTGACTATAAGGCTTTGTCTGACCTAGTCACCTGGGCTGTGTCATGTTTATGGGGGCCAGGCTGGCAGCATCCTCCTCAACCCATTTTACAGGAGAGGAAACTGAGGCAGCCGAAGCTCCATCTTCTCTCAGGCCCTGGGTAGGGCCTGGCCACAACCTTCTCGTCCTACATTGGGACCTGGGGTCTGGAAGTCCAGCAGGAACGATGGCTGAGGCCAGTGTCTCCCCATGTCCCTCAGCAGAAGACAACATGGCAGCCAAACAGCCTCCTCCGCTCATGAAGAAGCACAGCCAGACAGACCTTGTGAGCCGCCTGAAGACCAGGAAGATCCTGGGCGTGGGCGGAGAGGATGACGATGGCGAAGTGCACCGGTCCAAGGTGGGCCATCCCAGGAAGAGGAGCCAAGGCCCACAGAGCCTACAGTTTCCCTCTGCCATGGCAGGGGAATGATACCTACAGAGGCAGCAGTTTGAGGGAAAGAACCCAGTGCTTCTCAAGGAACAGGCACAGACACAGGCATGAGCAGATCCTGCCAGCCCTGCAGGCTGTCCATGTGATCACTGACCCACTGTACAGATGAGGAAGCCAAGACTCAGAGGGGCTCATAACTTCCTCGAGGTTATATCAGTGAGCGACAGAACCAGGCTTCTAGGCCATGGTGGGCAGACCCTGAGCTTTCTTTCATAACCACCTATTTTCAGCTTCTCTCCTCTGGGTGCCTAAACTTGGGCTTGCAGTGAGGAGGCCTCTATGTCAGTCAGAGGTGCTCCAATTGGCCCCAGGTGTGCAGGTGCTTGGTGGAAGGTGGGTGGGTAGGATGCGGAAGGCTGATGTCTCTGACTTGTGTGTCCACAGATCAGCCAGGTCTTGGGCAACGAGATCAAATTTGCTGTGCGCGAGCCTCTGGGGCTCAGGTGAGCAGCAGGTCTTGTCTTGTGTCCTGGGTGTGCACACTGTCCCGCATTACTGGGCCTTGCTCCGGATTTCATCCATGCCGTTCGTTACCTCCCCAAATAGCCCTGGGTGTGTGGGCTACACAGGGTGTCCCCTGGGGTCTGGGTTGACAGTGCAGGTCAGGGTGAGTGAGGCTGTAACTTTTCTCTCTGCATCTCCTCAGGGTCTGGCAGTTTCTTTCTGCTATGATGTTCTCCAGTGTGGCCATCATGGTGAGTCCTCCGTGTCCAGGTCCAAGCTGCAGGCAGGTGGGGTGCTTGCCAGCTGGTGGCACCTCAGACTGAAAGCTAGATGGAGGGAGGGACATGGTTGGGTGTAGCCCTTTGCTCTCCGCCAGCTTCTCCTCTACCCCATCACTGACTGCTGCTGTCTCCACACTGAGGCCCATCCTTCCGGGTCTCTGCTAGCACCAGGGCTGACACTCTGCCCCTTACCAGTGTGCTGTGCTCCAAAGCAACAGCGCCTCATGCTCTGGGCTGTGGGCACCCCAGGTAGGAGGGGCAATCAGGCCCTGCCCTGAGACCCTGGCTCTGTCTTTGGAGGAAGGAGGTGCCCAGCATTCATCTCAGCTTAGACCTAACTGTGCTCCCCTGCTGCCCACAGGCCCTTGCCCTCCCTGACCAGCTCTACGATGCCGTTTTTGATGGAGCTGAGGTGACAAGCAAGACCCCCATCCGCCTCTATGGTGGCGCCCTCCTTAGTGAGTACTGCTGGCAACACCTGGGCCCTTGGGGATCTTGGCAGAGCCTCTCCTCATTCTCTAGCAGGCTGGTAGCCTGGGCCCCTTCATGTGCAGCTGTGCTGAGCATGTGCTGCCACCTTGTGGCTATTGTTGGAATACACGTGGTTCATTGGGAGTAATGGCTGATTGCTGAAAGTTCACTGCCTTGGCAAAATGGGGTGCAGAGCCTAATGAAAATCAGGTCCTGCCTGTCAGGGTCACATAGCCAAAAGGAGGGGAGCAGATTCTCAGCACAGTGCCCTCAAGACTTTATCTCCCCACTCCATCTTTATGTCCAAGGCGTTTGGTCCTTTTGGTTTCCTCTCTAATCTGAGGCCAGAACATACAAAAAGAAGCTGAATTGTATTTTTGAAGTTCAACACAAGTGACATCATTCCCCTCCCTAAATTATTATATGGCTCGCCACTGTGTAAAGACCAAAAGCTTTGCCTTTATGCCTGAGAGTCAAGGTCCTGTGTGGGGTCTGGACACCTCCCTGTCTGGCTTGTATGTTGGGTCTCAATGGCAGCCGCATTGAGAAGGCCATCCAGAAGGCCACCAGGCCTTTGCACATGTGTCTTCTCCAGTCTTGTGCCAGTTGGACGTAAACTTGCTGGGAGCAAGGCAGTGGTGGAGACAGGTGGGTGTCATTAACTGGGTACACTCTGTCCGCTGCTCTCGTGTCCAGATATCAGGCACTGAGGGGTAAGTCACGATCAAGGCCTGTCCTGCTCTCCCAGGGGAATTCGTTAGAGCAAGTCCTTCCTTGGCACAGGTCTTCTGTCTCCAGAGGCTCCTCTAAGTTGTTGGCCCAGGTAACTGAGTTCCTAGACTTCTTCACAGAGTCACAAGGACAGAGCTAGCTTGGGGCTGGAGGCCTTTGCCCCATTGTGTAGATGAGGGTCCCAAGCCCTGGCGAGGAGAGAGCCTGGCCTGTGTTACATGAGGCTTCAGACACTGCAAGAACAGCCCGAGCACAGAGCTGGATCTGCAGTACTGGAAGAAGGACAGTTTGATCTGAGGGGTGGAGTATGGAGGTTCAGGCCCCTGAGCTGGGGGTCAGGCCCACCCTGTGCTCGATCCCAACAGGCATCTCCCTGATCATGTGGAATGCACTCTACACAGCTGAGAAGGTTATCATCCGCTGGACTCTGCTCACTGAGGCTTGCTACTTCGGAGTGCAGTCGTTGGGTGAGTGGTGTAGGGTGGGAAGGCTGGCAAGGTACAGGAGGAAGGGGACAGAGCACGGGGCACACTCAGAGCTGTGCCCTGCAAGGCACCTGCCAGTTGGGGGCAGCAGACTAGGGATACTGTCAGCTAGACTGAGCTAGTGCTGAGCTCTGGAAGGTCAGCCAGGGACCCTGCAGGGATGGCAGATGTGTTCAGTGTTCAGCGTAGCTTCATGGTGGGAGGGACTTGAACACATGTCGGCTCCTGACCTCTTGCTCCCCTGACTTCCTTCACAGTGGTCACTGCCACACTTGCTGAGACGGGCCTCATGTCCCTGGGGACCCTGTTGCTCCTGGGCAGCCGTCTCCTCTTTGTCATTGTCAGCATCTACTACTATTACCAAGTTGGCCGGAAACCCAAGAAAGTGTAGCAGGCTGGAACCTGCCTGGGCCTGGACCTGGGCCAGAGTGGCTGGGGCTTCACTGTCTGTAGACCCCAGACAGGCCTGCAGGCGGGCATGGTGTTCGCACCTCCCTTCCCTACCAGGCACTCCCTGGAGTCAGCTTGGACCTCCTGGGCTTCTGGGAGTGATAAGTCAGGCCGGGGCCTCTGCACCCTGCTCCTCACCCCGTACAAGAATAACTCCTTGCCCTGGCTTTCTTGACCTCTAGACTCTAACAGACAGTCTAGAGTAGAGGCCTGTGGTCTGGTCTGAGTCAAGGTTACTTCCTCTGCCAGGAGGCCCTTTTCTGTCTCAGAGGTTGTATCAGCCCCAACAGCAGGTCTCAGCTTCTCTCCATCCAGAAACACAAACACACACACACACACACACACACACAGTTTCTAGAGCCCCTACTGAGATCAGTTAGCAAGGGGATTGGCTGCCTCCCTTGGGCCAAGGTCCCAATCCCCATCCCTGACCCTCTCTTTGGCCTGCTATAGGGTGTTCTGATACTCTGGCTGGCTGCCTGGCCCCCAGAGCTGCAGACCTCCTTCCCAACAGGCCAGGGTTAGGCAGTACACCACAGGCCCTGGCAGGCCCTGGTACTGCCTTCTGTAGGCTCCCAGTGCATGAGGAATTCTGAGGGGAAGCAAAGCAGGGACATTTCCTTGGCATGGCCTCCAAGGCCTGCATGGCTACACCTGGCTTCATGCTTCCTCCAGATCCCCTCCAGAGGCTGCCTCCAGAGGCCTAGGGGTGAAGCCCATACCCCCCCTCCCTAAACTCTACAATGTAAGGAGACAGAAGTGGGTCTGCCCTTCCTTAGCACCCTGATTGTGGGCCTCTAGAGCTGAAGACATGCCCCTGCTGCCACCAGCCTGTGTGGCCCCTCCCCTTAGTCCCAGCTCCCAGCACCCCCCTTCCCTTGAGCAGCAAGCACACTAAATAAGAGATGTGGCCTGAGGCCTGCCTCTGTCCCTTCTGCAAAGGGGGGGAGTCCCCCATGTCTGGGGAATCTTTCTCCAGGGCACCTGGGCTCACAGCCTCCCTGAGTTCAGTTGGCCCTGCAGCCAAGTGCCCCATGACAATGGCCTATGCCCAGTGGAGAGGACTCCAGGGAAGTTTCAGTGGAAGACATGCCCAGCAGTGGTCCAGGCCGCTTCTGTGACCATGGCCTGGCAGGGTGGTGAGGACCTGTGCTTTCAAGAAGGGCCCACTGTGCGCACCTGCCTCCTGTTGCTGGCTTTGTGCCAGATCCCCAGTCCCACCTCTTGACAGAGAGCACGGGCCCAGCCACTGCCAACTCTCAGTGAATCCCCAGCTGCTGTAGACCAGGTGAAATGTGACTGTCCTCAGCGGTGGTAGGGATTCATCCTCTTGCGTCCTCTGCCAATGCAGATAGAGTCCCAGGGGAGGTAGTCATGGAAGTCACAGATGCCAGCCATGCTCAGCCTGCGGGTACATCTGCCAGTCTTCCCCTTGGCGCCAGGAGGTGACAGGGCCTGCCCCGGGAGTGGTAGCCAGGTTGCCCTGTTTAAACTGCATTGATAACTTCAGATGGGGCGGGGTCAAGGCCAGACCAAGGCTGGCATACAGACACCTGTGGCCTTCAGGAGACACTAAGCTTGGAAGAAGGCAGCAATGGAGATGGGAACCCCATGCTGAATCCAAGCTCAAGGTGACCTGGCTGCCCCCAGCTCCTCGTCATGCTTCTGCCTTGGCCCTCAAGACTGCCCCTGCCATGGTCACTATTTATTCCTCAGTCCTTTCTCATTTTGTAAGAAACAGTCACAAAAATAAAATGATAATAATAATTAAAAAACAGTGGGAAACGATCTGTGTGGCATCCTGTTTTATATTACAAAATTTCTCTTGATATAGAATATAAAAATGGCGGACATGGGTGATACAATGATAAATTAGCTCTGTTTCCTACTGCAAGGGACATTTACAGATTCCAAAATAGACTTTAACATATGGGTGTGTGTGTGTGTGTGTGTGTGTGTGTGTGTGTGTGTGTGTGTGTATGAGAGAGAGAGAGATATCCTGGGGTGGTGGTGCTAGGCTCAGAACCTGGGTAGGCAGGGGCTTAGGACAGGGTGCTGGGGCATGGGCCACAGACCCAGTCTTAACTCCCTGCCTGTAGAATGCTGCTGTCCCTTAGGCAGGTGGCTCTGGACAGGTAGGGGCTATTCTGCTCACTATTGGGTGAGGGTCACAGGGCATCTCAGATGAGGCTGTTGGTCCTATGGTAAGAAGAGGAGGGTCCCGTCTCCTCCCCTGGGAGTACACAGAGCAGCCCACCACGCCCCAGTATGGTGACCTCAATCAGCTCAGTTGATGGCTACTAGCAACCTGAGATGGTGAAGACTGTCTGCCTCTGGTCCCATGAGGGCACTGTCTGAGGAGTTGCATCCACAGCTGGGTTGAATCTGCGCTACCTTGGAGCTCTTCAACATGTATATGGAAAGTTTTCCTGGTCTCTCATCTACCCTGGAATTGCCTGGGCTACATACCACCTTCTCAGCCCTGCCTGTCTCTGGAAGTCTGGGATAGCTCTAGGCAGCAGCCCCTGTCGTGGGGCTCTGTCCTCAGCCTGGCCATGAGCTTCCAGTAAACCTCAGCTGAATCATTCACCTTCCTATGCTGTTGGAGTTCAGTATGTTGTGGGTTCTGAGTCAGAGCCTGGGTCCTCTTAGTCTGGGCTGGCAGCCAGCAGTGGGGGCCCCCAGCCTAGAGACTCAGCCTCTGGGGAGCTCATGACTTCATTTATGGGGATGCCAAAAAAGCTGTCATAAAAACAACTTGGGAGAGTGATGCTCAGAGACCCTTATGAAGGCCAGGATGGGTAAGGACAACATGAAGAGAGGAAAGAAATGGGAGGAGGATCCCCTTGAACCCAGATAACAGCACAGAGAAGCAGGGAATCCTTGGCTCCAGGCTATGGCTATGACTCCCAGGAGGCAGGCAGATAGAAGGAAGCTGAAGTTAGATCAGGCTCTTCCATCAGAGAGGAGAGCAGACACCAAGCTCTTCCTTCTACCACTGCTACCCTGCTGTGCCCATGGCAGACATAATTAATCAAACTTGAGATCCTGACAGACAACACTAATGGATTCATCATGGTCCTTATAAATAGTTGCTAACCTAGTCTGAGTCTCTCTCTCTCTCTCTCTCTCTCTCTCTCTCTGTGTGTGTGTGTGTGTGTGTGTGTGTGTGTGTGTGTGTGTATGTGTGTTGGTTGGTTGGTTGTGAGCCTGTGAATCTGAGTCTGGGAAAACAGCAGAGGCTAGAGAGAATAACAAAATGTCATATGGACAGCAAAAGGACAGAATGTGTATCATGGTAAAATTGGCTGAGCTCCTGTGGGGTTCTTAAATCTGCAGACAAAAGGCATTACCTTAACCTCTAGGAAGGAGAGAGCGTGAAGGGGACATGTGGACAGAAGCACAGGAAAATGGAAACCCCTTTTGTCTGTTGAGGTGAGAGTGACATTAGAGCATCTGAAGGCAGGAGGCTGCATTGGGAGGTAGTGAGCTCCATATATGGAGGTATGCAAGGGGTCAATTCTCGGCAGGGACCTTGAAGAACACTTTCAAGCCTCAGCTCTGGGTAGAAAGAAATGAATGATGGGGGGGGGGTCGTCTTCCAGGGAAAATCAGGAGAGGGTGTGACCCACAAGGACAGCTGATGAATGACAGTAGGATCTATGCCAGAGGTATAAACAGGACAGAGTGAACACAGTACGGACTTTTCTCAGCTGTAGAACTTGGTGCGAGCAGTTCCTGGCCAGTTTACATTGGATGCAGTCCTGGCTCCAGCAGCCTGGAGATGAACCTTGTCATGAACATGCCATGTGGCTGTGAACAGGCCGACTGCCCTTTCCTGGGGCAGTGAAGAGGCTTTGATCCAAGAGATGAGAAAATGAAAGGCAGCCACCTTCAGATCCAGTGTCCACACACAGCCACCCTCCGGCAGGTGGTACTGCAGAGTCTGACCCTGGGTGGTGAAAGTGCGTCTCCTTGGAGCCTGGGCTTTGGCTCTTCCTCCAGGGTGTGTTCCTGCCTCCTGCTTGCTCAGATTCTGGAAATGCTAAGAGTGGGGACCCCGGTCTGGGACACTCCAGTCTGATGGAGCCAAGGGGTTCTGAGGCTGATAATCCTTCAGTCCCAGGCCAGCCCTAGGTCCTTGTTGAGCCCGTGGCCCTTGCCTTAGAGCCGAAGTGAGGCCTTTTCAGTTCATGGCTGTCTTGTTTTTGTTTTAAAATTGATTCTAGGCTCCTGGCCATCTGGGCTGGCCTTGCCTCCTCCCCTGGGGCCAGAGGACATGGAAGGGAGGGGGCTGGCTGCTGGGCAGTGGTGGGCTCTGGGCGTCTTCAGGGCATGGCCTACTGGATGCCCCGGAAGAGGCACATGGCAAAGATCATGAGGAAGAGCTGCAGAGAGAGGAAGAAGGTGATGCAGAGTCAGAGGCATGCTGAGGGGCTACCCAGAACGCCTCCTGCAAGGATGCCTTGATGCCACCCGGGCAAGCATCTGTTCACTGTCCATCTAAAAAGGGGGCTTTGGAACGCAAACAGTCTGTTTAAACAGTTCAAACGTCTTTCTCTGGTCAGCAGAGACTTTAAGCAAAGCAGAGCCCTTCTTGGGGGCCTGAGTGTGCACCAAGTAGGTTTCTAAGTGCTCTATCAGCAGCCTTCCTAACCAGCAGGAAGTGAGGCCCAGAGAAGCCATACCACCTGATTCAGGTCACACAGCTTCAGTGAACAGCGACACACTGCGCCCAGAGCCCTTGCTTCTAAGCCCCTGCACTGTGAGCTAGCTCCCGGGAAGCCAGTTGAGGTTTGCAGAGATTATCCTACTCTAACCTGCCGCTGCAGAGAGGCAAGGCAACATGCGCTGGACACATTCTTGAAATTTGCCCAGCCTCAGGAAGATCTGTGTGACTGTTGTTGGCTTTCGCTCCCACAGGAGGCTCTGTTCACTTCTAGAAATGCTGGTACATATAGCATGGGCTCGATTTACGCTTGTGGAACTAATGAATGACGGCTCCATTTCCCCTGTGACATACATGGAACAGAGGCACAGAGGACACTTAACAGGGGCATATCAGGGTGCCAGGTGATCAGAGCATCCTTGAAGGGGGCGTCACTGCTCCAGAGCACATCCTAGAACTAGGCAGCGGCTGATGAGAAGGGAAGGCTGAAGCACCACCTAGTGGTAGCTCAAGGGTACTAAAGCTCAATTGTCAAGTTTAAAAAAAACAAAACAAAACAAACAAACAAACAAACAACAACAACAAAAAAAAAAACCCTGAACATTTGCAAAGGCAGGGCCTCACAGCAAAGATCCTCAACCTTCAAGGAAACTCACTTATCCCACAAAACACACGTGGACTATAGAACTGGGGTGAAGTAGAGTACCTCTCAGGGCCTGCCTGCGGTCATGGTTTTAGGACAGGCACAGCTTCAGCCATAAGAATGCACTGGGCATCTGCAGCAGGCAGAAGCCATGGATCTGGGAAGTACAGGCCATGGGGTTTTTCTCCCAGCACCCCTCTTCCCCCCCCCCACACACACACTCACCTCAATAGCTAGTACCCCAATGGCAAAGGCTCCAGCCAGGTAGACATAGGTTTCGAAGGTGTTGAGGATCACTGTGTAACAGCCCTGGGAAGGAAAGGCCAGAGATGAAACCACAGCAGGAGGTGCAGTCTGCAGCCTGGACCATTGCTGGCACTGAAGTCCCTGGCATGAGGCCCCAGGGCTCAGCAGCTGCAGGCTGCCACTTTCCTACTGAGGAAGCATCAGGTCATTGACAGAATTGTAGTGACAATTTGGGGAATTTTGGTTTCTTTAATGACAAAGAAATAGCATAAGAACTTGTTTTTGTTTTAATCCCAGGTGTGGGGTTACGGGGCTGCTTCAGGCTATCCACAGAAGCTGACTATGATTTGCCTTGTGCTCTAGCAGAGGCGTGGTTTTTACCAGCTGCAGATAGTTTCTGTAATTGTGTGACATTTGGAATTCTGTCAGAGGGTACATAAATGCTAGAGCCCCTGAGAGGTGGGGTTGGTGGTTTTTCTGGGAGGTTGGTTTCAGTAATTAGTAGTTGTGCTCAAATAAGAAACAAAAGGAAAGAAATTAGATTCAGGGATCTCTCTCTCCTCTATTCCTTCTCCTCTATCTAGTGATAGAGGGTGAAGTGGGAAGGGCAGATTAAGAGTGGGGAAAAGAAGAACTCACCAAGCAGCCAAGTCTGGCTACACAGAATGTCGCCAACACCCGTCCCTCCCCAAGACACACTGAAAACGTCCCCAGGCTAACTCAGCCACAGACACGGAGTATGAGGAAATGTTCAAATACCCAGGCTTCCTGGTGCTCTTTAGAAGTGGGGATTGGACCCCGAGGGCAGAGGTGGCTGAGCTGGGCTTCTTCCATCAGAAGGTCCAATAGTGCCCTTAACCCCCAGGTGGGACAGTTGCTCACAGGGTCCACAGTGCCCTCAGTCCCTCTATTGACCTGCCCGATTGTTGAGCAATTGATGATTTTTCTCCCAGGGCTCAAGGTGAGACAGCTCAGTCTCAAACTTAGCTCTTCTTCCCCAGACTCACAGGAGTGACATGCCTGTTGTCATCCTAGCATCTTGGGTGACAGATAAAGCAAGGGGAGCCAAGACCTCCCCCAGTGTCCCCCAAACACATCATACTTTGTGTCCACTGTCTCCCCCCCCCCCCCCCCCCAGGCACAGGTCCATAAGTCCTCACGGTGAATGCTGGGGATCAAAATATATGCTTTAAAAAAAAAAAAGATAGGATCTCAGACAGGTCAGGCTGTCCTTGAACTCTTTGTGTAGTTGAGGGTGACCTTGAACTCTGGCTTTTTCACCAGAGTACTAGGATTATCCAGTGTATGGGATGGTGGGAAGGAACTTAGGCTTCGTGCATGCTCGATAAGAGTACTGGCTGAGCTATAGTCCCAGCCATCTGAAACACATTTAAAAAAAAAAATAGTTTTCTTTCTTTTATGAGCACCTGACTATTCTTTGGGCCCAACTGGAGGACCAGCTCGGTGGGGGGGGGGGAGGCTGGGGGGAGGAATTGTGCTCATCTGTGCAGGGTGACTGCTGGATTTTGATTCTGCCAAGACTGGCGTCTTGCTGTTTTCTACCCAGATTCCCAGTATCTTTGGCTAAGTGGAACTGGGAAGCTATATCTGAGCAAGCAGACAGTAGGACCTGATCAGGGACAGTGGCCAAATGAGAGTCATGGTGTCTTCCAAGTGGAGATGGACTAGGATCTAGGCAAGGGGGATCCTGTTCTCCCTGGAGCCCTGTGGAGTGAGGGGACAGACTTCCTAGACACATAGAGACCCCAGGACAAGTGACCTGAGATGAGCAAAAGGTTGGCTGGTAGAAAATCCCCAGGGACAAGGAAGCCCTTGGCGTGAGTGGGCAGAGCAGACAGTGCTACCTACACTCAGCATCCCTCTTCCGAGGGCTTACTAGGCTCCATGTGCCCTATCATTTGGTCCTCTGTGCAGCCCCTAGTGAGAAGTGGCTTATCTGTGGCTTACCTCCTCAAAAACCGGGAGAGAGCAAGTTGCTGGCTCACTTGAGGCCTCACACATACAGCAAGAGGGGAAGCCCAAGTTCAGAGATTCAAGGATTCCTTTCCTGCTGTATGAAGGGCATGGGAACTGTATTTCCCACATGCTTGTCTTTGTGTGGCCAAGCCTCTCAATCAGAGCCTGGAAATGAGCATACCCTTTGTATTACCCCACGATGGGGCAACTCCTTCTGGCACATGGATACACATCCCTCTCTAGATGCCTTTTATAGCATCTATCCTCCAATGTTCAAAGGGGAAATGCTCTACCCCAGTTCCTGCTCATAGTTACCCCAAAACCAACCAGATAGAGGGCAGCTGGTTCAGGACTGGGTGTGTGGGGGTACTGAGGTACTGGGGCTAGTGGCATTTGAAGGACAGGAACCTGGTTGTAGGACTCTGTCGCAACCCCACCCAACTCCTGAGCCCCCAGCAGCTAGACAGCAACACCTGCATTCTCATCACTAGAGTACCCTTCCTAGGCTCCAGGATGAATACCCCACTGCCCACCTTGGGACCACTGCCTGGATATCTCAAAGGCCCTTCACTCTCAACATTTCCCAAACCTCACACACAGTGTCCCCCCAACCTAGATAGCACAGAAACACCTTTGTCACGTGCCTGTACTCACACTGAGACCTGGTACCAGGCCAGTGAGGTGTCACCAGCACTCGAGTGTACCCCACCATCCTTCCCTCCTGGGACCGCTGTTCAGGCAGAGCTGTCTTGAATTCCCAGAGCAGCCAGAGCGACAACCTAGCCACCTCCTCCATATCCCCAAGGGAACTCCACACTTCTAGAAGTCTGGTTTGTGCCAGTCACAAATGTGTCCTGGGCGTTGTGGGAAGCAGTTCTGGAGAGAACCCAACTGGATATGGTCTCCCGGTGGAGGCTCTTAGCAGAAAACATGGCTCAGAGGGGATAGGAGCAGGAGCATCAGCCCCAGCTGCTAGCTTCACTGGGCCTGGAGAGGCTCTGTGATGTCAGCGCAGGAGACAGCAGGAGTATGCGCATGGGGGAAGTATCTTGCAGGAGAAAGTTCAGGGCTGGCAGGGAGTGGTCCTGAGAAGCTTTTCTTGAGGCTAGCTAGTGGACAGGAACCTGGTTGTGAGACTCTCTCCCAACCCCATGCAACTTCGGAGCCCACAGCTGTTCCTTCAGTGAGGAAACTGTGCATGTTCTCTGGTGGTCTGGCTCCTTCTTTGCAAGATCTGCCAACTCAGAGCTCCCTGTCCTCAGCAAGGTCCTGAGTGTCTGTGTTTTGGCTGAAGAGTGTGTGTGTGTGTGGGGGGGGGGCGGTAACACTTTCTTATAAGGGTGTGACTCAGTTACCAGAATGTGCCCTGTCAATCTCTTCTTGGCTCATGGTGTGATTCCAGGGCCTTTGAGAGACAGCAGAAGAAGCAAGGCTTCTTCCTCACACTCCTGGGCTGTGATGGACTTTTCTTCCCCAGCGTAGGGGTAATGGAGCAAGGATGCTTCAGGTCAATAGGCTTGGCTTTCAGTGGGCAGGTATCCACCTAGGCCTGTCAGCAATGGAAGCATGAGACTCCCCACATCCTTCCATGCCCCCCAGATCCTATTTGCTCTTCACATAGGTCCCTGCGATGGAAACCCTCAGTGGCCTGCTCTCTCCACAGTACTCGAGTCCCAGCACCCTCCATCTTTATGTCTGTCTCTCTCCCTGGAGTAGGAAGGCAGGAAGTGTGACAGAGGAGTTGAGCTCTGGCCTATCCCAGAGAAGGAACGAGGACAAGAGCTGAGTTCTTGGTTTCAACCTGAGGTCACAGGGTCAGGTCTCAGGCCAATGATGCCCTTGGGACTCAACCTTAAGCTCCTGCCCATGCACATTCCAACACTTCTTTCAACTGATTTTCACTCTCACAACCCGCACTGCGGGCAAGGCTCACTTTACTCACTGGTTCACCATCTACCACCTCTCCCGAGACCGCGAGCTCCATGGGAGCTGGGCCTTGTGCTCCATCAGCTCCCCGGTATTTTGAATTCTCCCAGAAGTCTGACCAAGGGTGTGGTTCTCATCCTTATCCCTCTGTCCCTCCTCCCTGTCTGCCCTGCTCAACCTCTCTATGTCTCTCTTTATACAGGGGAGGGACAGAGTCTCTGGCCAGCAGGAAGGAGGGGGCCAAGGGTGAAGTGGCGCTGTGCCCTTTGTTGATTGGGACAAAGCTGGGACCTTTGCTTTTCTTAGGGGGAAGGCTGATATGAAGCCCTCAGATTATAAGAAAAGGAGGATGTCTGGAGGCCTCCCTGATTGTCTAGGGTCAGGTCAATGAGTCTGCTCCCCTGGGATCAAGGAGTGCTCCTCCTTGACCAGGGTGAATGTTCTCATAAATACAGCAATATGTCTAAGCCCCGCCCCCACCAGCCCACGACTTTTATTAATAGAAGTTTGGAAACTCACCCTGGAACCACAGCCCACATTCCCACACCAGCGTGAGCCTAGTTCGTCTCCTCTGTCAGTGTGATCCTCTTTCGACCTTGGTTCTTAGAGGCATGGGTAGAGGCCAGAACTGTTAACAAAGCTCTCGGCCACCCTCTGGGCACACATTGCTTCCCCCAGCTTTGCCCATATTTTTGGGGTGTCTCCCTGCCTGGGAAACGTACCTGCTTGTTTATGAACGGATTTCTCCCCAGCTGGCACTCCTCCCTGCTCAGCAGCACCCCATCCCGAGTCTGGGGTTCCCTCCGACAGCAGGCCTTGGGCACCTCCTCACTGTCCAGCGTCAGCAGCCGAAACACCGAGGCCAGCTTGAAGTCTTCAGGTCCATTAACCCCACAACAGCCAAACTAGAAGAGAGCCGAATGTGGGAGCTAGAGCAGGACCAGAGAGGACCTCAGCCTCTGCCAGGGCCCAGCTCCCTCTGTCCTTCATGCGGTTCATGTATAGTTGCTATGATTTTATATTATGCCACGCTAATTGTTGTCTTTTCTACTTTCATATTTGTTCACATGCAGATGTATGTGTGTGCCGTAGAGGGGCATGTGTACATATTCATGGAGAAGACAATCTCAGATGTTCTTCAGGTGCTGTCCATCTTAATTTTTTGAGACAGGAGCTCTGACTGGAACCTGGGGCTTGTAGATTGGGCTAGGCTGGCTGGCCAGTGAGTCCCAGGGATCTGCCTGTCTCCACTTCCCCAGTGTTGGGATCATAAGCATACATCATCACATCTGCCCACATGGGTGCTGGGGATCAAACTCAGTTCCTCATGATTGCACAGCAAGCTCTGACCCAACCATCTCCTCAGCCCCTGTACTGATTATTAGTAACATCAATGACAATGGCTATTGTAAGTCAGGGGCACTGAGTAGGTTTTGTGGAGAGTCTGGACTCTGAACCACTAGCCATGGCAGCTTGAAGTGCTATGTAAATGATGACTCATAGGCCAAGAGTGGGATCAATGATTCTTGATTGATTGTTGATGTCTGGTACAGGCAAGGGACTAGGAGGGCTCTAGAGGTCAGGCCTTTTCATGTCAACATTATGGCTTTGAGTGTTCATAGCATCCCAGGATGGCATGAGGAGGGGAGGGGCACTCACTGTGATCATGACTGAATTCCAGGTGGCAGAGAACACATCCGTGTCGTTGTTGCCCTGGTAGTGCTTGGTAAGCTCCTTAGTGAAGAACTCACGTGTGAGCTGGGGACAGAGGAGAGGGCACTGAGTCCCCCCAGCCAGGCCTCCTGGGTGATAGTAAGCTGTCCACTTGGGGCAGGCACACCCTTCCCAAGGCTTGGGACCTTGCTGTGTCATCACTGGTTGTGACAAGGATCTCTACATACACAGACCTCAGCTAACCCCAGGATAGACACACTGGGAACCTGCTCAGCCTTGCAGCTCTTCACAGAGCAGAGAATGAGCGTGCGTGGGGCATGGGAGGCATGATTGTCATCCTATCTTTTAGAATCAGCAGGTGCCAGGCCCAGCCTACAGGAAACCAGGGTGTGGGTAAAGAGGGAGCCTTTGATTACCTGTAACTCCCAGCTGTCCTCAAAGTCACTGTCCTCAACAGTTATCTCAGGCTGGCGCCTTGTCCCAGGCTAGCCCACGTGTCTTATCCTTCCTGCCCTCCTGTTTGGAGCCCAGGCCCTTCTAGCTGTAGTGCCAGGTCTTTTCCACTAGGCTCAGGATAAGGATCTGGCTGAAAGCCTCTGAAATGAATGGCCCGTGGTGAAGGCTAATCAGAGAGGCTGGTAGCCTAGCCTGGCACACAACATGCCCAGACTGGGGTTGTCCCCTCCAGCCACCTGACCTTGTGACAACCATTATCAGGCTGTCACTGGGTTAAATATAGATTCTAGAACCAGGCTGGCACCTATACCAGGTGGTTCAGGAGTCAGGACACGTAAGTGCTCCCAGTGGAGACCTTCTGGAAATACCCCTATAGGAGGAGACTTCACTGGCTGGGTTGCTCTGGACCTGGAACCTCCCTAAAGTGCAGGTTCTGTTTAGGTGAGAGAAGGCAGCTAGTTCTAAGGGTCTCTTTGAGGAGTTAGGGGCTACCCTAACTTAGTGCTCAGGGGGTGAGGAGGGCAGCAGAGTAGGACACTGAGTGGTACATACATGTTCCCTGAAGATGAAGGCCAGGATGGCTGCTGAGAGCTCTACCAGGAAAATGATCAGGATAAACAGGAAAAACTGCAGAGAGAAGGCAAACTGTGAGGCTTGTGTGGGCGCCATCTTCCCAAGCACCCTTCTGTGATAGATGGAGTGCACTCATCGTGTGAGACAGACCTTCGCTGCCATAAATCACTGTTTTCATAACAAACAGGCTGATGATCCACCCTTGTAGCCGCAGAGTCACACGAGAACGCATGAGCAATGCAGGCAAATAAGTCTGTCTTCTGAGCACATGGTCTCTGAGAGCGTACAACCCGAGCAGCCCTACCTGGGGGCCCCAGGAAGCGGCTGCTGATGAAATCCATTTGGACTCCCTTTGGGGACATTTTCTTCTGTGAATTGTCCAAGCTGTGGGATCCCAGGCTGGGTTTCCCACCCCATCTACCTCAAGGCTACTTCTTTTTTCTGCCCCAGTGCCCCTGGTTGCCATGGAAATAGAAGGCCCTGCTATCTTCAGTGGAAGTAGGGAGTCCATGTTATCTTCACCTGAAACAAAGGCACGAGATAGGCAGAAAGGTAGTGGGAGTCCCAGAAATTCCAGGGGAGGGAGTTTGATGTCCAACACAGAGCCCTGTCGGCTCCACTCAGTAAATTCCTGTGTTCCACGGATTGACCAGGGTGCTCTGAGGTGGGGCCCTCCCATGCTGAGTGCCACTCCAGCCCCACCCCTGAGAGGCCTTCCCTACTTCTCCCTGCACCCAGGGCCTTCCCCATATCATAGCATCATACAGAGGTGCCTGGCTGCCTTTCCCCCAGCACCTGAGAGTCCTCACAAACAAACATATTGTTATCATGACCCGGTGATATGCTGTGTGCCTCAGGCTCTGGTCCTCACTTAGCACTGTTTTGGACTTGGCTCAAAAAGAGAGGGAGAAGCAGTGTGGCCTGCCTTCCTCAGTATACTTGAAAACTCCATACTCATTCTGGCTGGAGCCACCAGCAGAGGGACCCACAGCCAGCACTCACAGAGGCTGGTCCCTAAACCCTGTCTTCCTGGCCATGTAGGGGCCCACACTCAGGCTGGTCAGCCTGTATTGGCTGTACTAGGGCAGAAGGAAATGGGGGTGTTGGGGCTTGGCCTGAGGATATCACAGGTCCCTCTTTCCCAGTAACATGGGGCTAGTAATGAGGATAGATGTGATGATGGAGTGAAGATGTGCCCATGCTGTAGAGCCTGGATGAGCTGTAGGACCTTCCTCTTGTTAAGAACTCGGCCACACAGTCATGACCTTATGGCCCTGGGCGGTGGCGGATGGTTCTGAGGGTTTTTCTCTCATAACTTTCTTTTCCCATCAGAAACTCTGCCACGTTACCCTCATCCTGGGACACCCCAGTCATGTTCCCACTATGGCTTTTCTGCCTCTCCAGTTTGGAGAGGTCCCAAACTGTTGAGAATGGGCCACTTCAGGAAGAATGAAGGATGGCGGTAGAACACAGGCCCCTAAAGCTGTCAAAAGGCCTGTCATTGCAGCATCCAAAGAGAGAAGGTCTAGCTTAGGTGGTCACAATGGGATCGCTTCCTTGGCCCATTGCTCTGCCGAGGGAGTAACCTGTGTGCCCTCTGTACCCCTGATGGCCCTGCACTCCACTGTCCCAAGAGGTGGACTTTCAGGTCAACCCTCTCCTGCTTGGGGTTTCCTGCTGCTTCTGTGCTCAGAGAAGGCATGCAGCCCATGGGAAGACAAGCCTGGCATATGCTTTTGTTTGTTCATTTGTTTGTTTTGTTTTGCAAAACAGGGTTTCTCTTTATAGCTCTAGTGGCCCTGGAACTCACTCTGTAGAACAAACTGGCCTCGAACTCACAGAGATCCCCTTGCCTCTGCCTCTGCCTCCCATGTGCTGGATGAAAGGCATGTGCCACAACCACCCAGTGAGAAGCCTGGCATGTGAGTGGCACCCTTGCTGGAGTCAGAGTGAAACAGCCTCGAATGTTGGGTGCTAAGTGGAACAGCCAGAAACCGAGCACTCTCAAAAACTCCGATAGTCTTGGGCTGAGGGCGGGGAGCTTCCTGGGCCTGGGGCAGGACCCTGGCTGCTCCTTCCCAGTCTTTTCTGCCACCCCTTGACCTGGCTTTCATGAGTCTGAGTATCTCTGGGCTGAGTGGCAGAGTGTCACTGACAAAGAGTGTCCTTTGGCAGCCTCCCCATGCCCGCACCCTGGCAGAGATCTGGCATTTCCATTTGGCTGGGCATCAGTTCTACTCAACCCAGCCTCTAAGGGACCTTCCCTGCTCTGCATCGTCCCTGACTGTTGGCATGTCCTCAGGCTGTTAATCCCACAGTGACTCCTGCAATGCTGGCTGTGGCCAAGAGTCACAAATTAAGAATGGCGCGTGCCCACGCACAATCATTTTAGAGTTGCCATGAAATGGTAGGTGATGAGCTTTGCATGAGAGCAACCTAACCTTGCTGATCAGCTTGGAAGGCCACTGAGAATCAGCGGAAGCCTGGACGCCATGTGGGAAAACTGCCACTGCCACGGTCTGTGCTCTCAGTACCTCAGGGTTGCATGCCATTCGTGGTAGTCTGATTTCTGCAGCTTGGGGGAGGAGGAAGTGCTCTGAGCAACTACCCTCCATTCTACTGTTGGGCCGTGGCTCTAAGAGGAGCTGGTGGTGACTGTAATTGGTGGTACTGCCAGTTAGGGGTAATGGCAGGAGCTTCCAATTCTTAGAAGATACGAATGGCCAGCGTTCCTTTTATTTCCTTTTCTTTTCCGTGTATCAAGTGAAGTCAGGAGCAGAGCTAAGCAAGATGCATATTTTCCCAGTGGATTGTGAGTACAGAATGATAGCAGGGAAGATCTATTTATCCCCATTTTCACATGAAGAGTCTTAGGTTCAGAAAGGTTAAACAGCCGGTCCCAGGACACACAGCCAAAACATCGAAGCTCAGCCTGTACTTACATCTCTGATCTGTGTCCTCCCTCTGCCTTCCTTCATCCCAGAGTTTCTATGGAGAGCCTATTCAGAGGTGCTCTGGGCATGGGCAAACACAGACAAGGCAGACAAGGGCCACCCCGTAGTGGTCTGCACAGAGCCTTATGCCTTGGAGAGATGCCAAGAATGAACGTAGCCAATCTTGGCCTGCGAAAGGGGAAGAGAAACATGCCCAGAGGCAGGGAGCCTGGTAGCTCCCACCTGATGTATATCTACACAGGGTGTGAATTTCAAGAGGAAAGTGCAGGTTAATAGAGACAAGTCCCATCCTGCCCCCATCACCCTCGACCCCCACTCCTCCAGCTAAGTGACTTCCTCCAGCTCTCACACCTTCCTGCTGCTTGGGGACTTTCCCCAGCAGGCCCCCCAGGCTACGGAATTCCCACCCTCTCATTTCCACCTCTACTAATAAGCAATGAGGTTAACAGAGCCTTGGTGCTCTCACTCATGTGGAGTGTCCTGGTCTCCTTTCTGATAAACAGTCCTCAGTTTCCACATAGCACAGCTCATGTAACTCTTAAATACACTCATTCTCTTCCCCTCTCCTTCCTTCCCTCTGTCTTCATCCCCATCCTTCTCTCCACAGCCCCACAGCCCTTGTTAAAACTGGCATCTTTAGGTATGTTGGCCATAAGGTTCCTTATGACATTCAGAGAGGACAACACAGGAAATCGCCAGTACAGACTGTCAGTAGAGGTGTGGCAGGGCCTCACATGTGACCCACACATGTGCACTCATCATCAGCTAAGCTAGTCATTGGGTGACTGGTCACATGGCCAATTGTCCTCAGACTTGGGATTCTCAGGCCCAGAAGCAGGCAGAGGTTGCTCCACATCCAGTCCTTATTGCTGCAGACGTTGGGATGGCTAAAGCCATGCTCTGTTTGCCCTTTTCAGACAACTGGCTAAGGAGGAAGTCAGAAGCCTTGAGGGAGCCCCAGGTGCTCCCAGGGTCTGAGTCAGTGGCCCTCTTCTCCATCTAGCTGCAGGTTGGAAAAGAGAACTGGGTTCAGGCTAGGAACCTTGTGGAAAACCTTCCAGAAGGGCTGGGGATGTAGCTCAGGATGCAGAAAGCTTGCCTAGCATTTGGGAAGTCGTGGGCTGGATCACCAGCACTACACAAACTGGGTCTGGGGGCACAGCTGTAACCCCAGCACTTGAGGGGTGCAGGAGAACCAGGAGTTCAATATCATTATACTGGACCCCACAGCAGCCTGAGCTAACATGAGACCTTGTCTTAGAAAAACAGAAAAACTTCTTAAGGCTTCTATGCCCCTCAACCCCCCCCCACACACGTGTTGTCCACAACCCACAAACTTGTACGTAACCCACAAAACCCACAACACAGGTACACACACCAAATAACATGGCAAACACGTATGCACATGTGATATGCACACATGCACTGTAACGAACTACACAGAGCACCACATACCACACGTACGCACAGCACACATACATATATACTCACACATACATGCACACACTTAGAACACACACACACATGCCCACAGCCCTAGTGTAGCCCTCTTGGGCATGATTTTGGTTTGTCCAGATCTATTCTGGGTTGGGGCTTGAACAGCCCTGGTTTGAACGGCAGCAGTCTAAGGCCTGGTATTACATCCTGCCTCTGACCCACACCGATTTTAGGCTTGTGTGAACCGGGTTTGGGAGAGGGGTGAGCAGGGAACAGAGAGAGGTAGGGTGATAGGCGAAAGAAAAGGAAGCAGGAAAAGAAACTGAGAGACGGCAAAAGGAGAAAGGGGAGGAGGCCAATGTAGAGATAAGTAGGCCCAAGCAGAGACAGAGAGGGTCAGAGAGGACCTGGCTGGTGGCCAGCCCTTGGACTAATTCAGCCTGTCCCCAGCTCTCAGCCTTCTCCTTAAACTTCATGCAAAACAAATGCCTTGTTCTTCTCTCCAGCTGGCAGGGCGCAGGGCACACTTAGCCGAGGCTGGCAAAGCAACTGAGCACAGCCTGCTCTCAGCCAAGAGCACAGGCTGCCTTCCGGGCTTGGCGTCAGAGATGGACCCATTAACAGTGACGCATCCCTGGAGGCCAAGGCGAGGAGGGGAAGGCATGGCCTGCTTTCAGGATCCCTTTTCTCTCCTTTCTCTCTCTCTCTTTTTAAAAGATAGAATCTAACTTTGTAGCCTTGGTCTCACAGTAATCCTCCTTCATTAGCCTCCTTCATGCTGGGATTACAGGTGTATAGCACCACGCAGGGCTCACAGACCCTTTTCATGCATACATAACAGATTTTCAACCAGCAAACAAAGTAGCGGGATTCCTTATGCCATTTTCATAACTCCTCAGTTTTGGTTGATCCGTATTCCCTCAACCCCCCATCCTCTTACCCCTTTCCTTCTTAGCTCTCCCAACCCTCTTTCATATCATATGTATTCTGGTATTTTCCCACTCCCTCCCTTAAAGCCTCTTTTTCCCTCTCATGGGCCCCTTGCTAGTTTTCTGGCCTCTACCCAATACTTACTCCCACATAAATACACATAAATAAAAATTAGAAGCTCTGCATGAGGGAGCTATTTGTCTTTCTGAGCCCAAGTTACCTCACTTAATGTAATATTTTCCAGTTCCACTCATTTTGCCTGCAAATTTAATAAATTTCATTTTTCTTTATGGCTGAATAAAATTCCATTGTGCCTGCGCATCACATTTTCATTATCCATTCATCCATTTCCTAGCCATTGTGAACAGAGCAACAGTGAACACGGATGGGCCAGCATCTCCATAGTAGGATTCAGAGCCCGTTGGGTACATGCCTAGGAGTAGCACAAGCAGGTCATCACACCCTGAGACCAGGTCTTAAAGCCTCTGCCTCTCCAGCCTGAGCTGCCACAATGCTGGAGCTGACTGACACGGAAGAGGACATTCCACCAGGGGGCACCGGCAGGTTCCTTTCTCTCTCCCAGTGAAGTTGGCTGTGCTGTGCTGTGAGAAATAAAGGGACCTACAGCTCCCCTGCCGCTCATGTCACAGGCCATTGCACTTCCTCTCTTGGAGGTGGAGCACATGGCTATGGTAGGAATGAGCCACATGGGGGTGTCTTAATCTGGGAGGAGCCCCAGGCCAGATGTCTTCCTCTAGCACGCCTGGTGCCACTGTAGGAAAGACAGTTTCACTACTTGCAAGGCAGTGCCTTTGATCTCTGCACACTTGGCTGTGTCCATGCTCAGGAAATGCCCCTGGGGTCTGAACCAACTGGCCTGCCCTACAGGAATGAGGCATTGGCCAGTGAAAGTTTCCTGCAGGCTCCTGAGCCTGCTTGTTTCCTCTGGGCCTCATCCCATAGTTTGTGAAGTAGCCTCCACAGGTCCCCTGCAAGGAAGTCCTTCGACCCACTAGCCCAGGAGGCCCTGTCACTGAATTACATGCCATCTATACACAAGTAAAATTTGCAAGTTGAGGTATGTATGCATCTCTAAGCAGTGACCCTGCAGCAGGTCTGGGCTCAGTGTTGAAGTTCTCTTAGTTTTAGGTCCATGGATCCTCCTGGAGAGAAACCCACCTACCAAGACCAGGACATCGAGCCTCCTCACCACAGCCCAGGGGAATCCAGAGAAAGACCATCTGCTGCTTGATCTGCTTAGCTTCAGCCTCCAGCAGAGCTAGTTGGTCCCTTGACAGTCAAGAATGCCAAAACCAAGAGAAAATTTCTAGGCTGGGTTAAGTGAGAAGCGGGGAAATGCCCTATATATGAACATCACCATCCCGTAGACCGGGGTCCAAGAATGAATGAGAGGGAAGATGTGAGCTGCTTGCCAGCATGCATCTCTCTCTGCTTCCTGACTACAGAGACCATGTCAGCAGCTGCCTCACGCTCCTGCCATGGTGCCTTTCCCTCCCTGACAGCTTGTACCTCCAAACTGAGCCAGATCAAACCTCCCTCCACCCCAGGCTGCTTTTGTCAGGCATTTTATCAGAGCAATGAGAAAAGGAGCAAATATGAAGTATTAAGCAGCAGCTCTGGAAAGCATTCCTTCTCCTCTCAAGGAGTAGAGAGCTGCAGGGTGAGTGATCTGCCCAACAGCCAGCTTGGTTTCATTACTCAGGGTTCATAGGTCAGGGCAAACACCAATGTCCTCAGTGGACTGTGCCCTGAGAAGCCTGGTTCTTTAGACTCAGAGGCCAAGGTCACTCCTAAGAACTGTGGGTAGAGGCCCCATGCAAACCAGCCTGCTCAGGCACTGGGGACTGCAGAAAAGCCTGGGGACTGCCTTGTTCCTGGCAATCTGCTCACCTCAGACCTCAAGGGGACTCCCTGAGCATGAACACAGCCAAGCGTGTGGTGGCCAAGGGCACTGGCTTGACTTTGGAAGGGGCTTAAGGAGAGCTAGAAGAAGTCAACTCCCAGAGGCATTGTGGGCAGCAGAGGGTCACTCTATGGATCTGAGGAGAGGAGGGAGACAGTCTTAAGAGGCAGCTAAGAATCTTCAAACACTAGTGTTCCACCAAGCTGTCCTCAAACTGATTATCACTGCTGAGCCATGAATGAACCAGAAAAACCTGGGCCTCTCAACTGGCTGCAAAGCTAAAATTTAAACTGATGACAATAAATACAGTTACTAACTCCTTCCTGACCCTAAGCTGAAAGGCAAGCTTATGATGGTGAGGTTGGCTCTCTCCTATCCTTAAACAGCCACCTTGAGCTTGGGGCTACTCAGAACAGACCATAAAAAACCCAAAGTTAAGCCAAGGGTAACAGAATGTGGTTAGTTACTTTTTCCATGGTTGGTCTAGGGAAGCGGAGAACAGTTTTTACATAAAAAACTTCAGGTATCATCCTGGGCCACATACAATTTTCACACCCACCTCAAACCAAGATTTGAAGAAGCAGGTTCTTTGTTCTCTCACGAACATGATCATATTGACCCCTTACAGCATATCTTCCTACTTCTGCCAAATTCAAAACTCTCTCAAGCTTTCTCCTGGTTTCTGCTTCATGTTTCTGGAAAGGTCCTCTAGAATGGTGTCCTTGACCTTAGGATTCCTTGCCCAAAGGCAGGATGGCCATCTTGTTCTCCAGTAACAGATGACCTGACAGGCCAGTGCTCCAGTGTAACAAACGGCCTCTGCATCAACTTCCTACAGGGCTGTGGGTAAGTAGCTGGACACCTCAGGGCTCCCAGACCACTGACCATAATTAGTGGGCCAGAAACTGAACCAGGGACCTTGTGGGTGGCATATAGGTACTCTATTACTGAGTGACATCTCCAGATCCCAGGACCCCCTGGCCTTAATGCTGAAAACCACCCAGGCAGGAAGAACTTTTTGGTTTCTTAAGCCAGGTTGGATTTGGGAGTCAACAGCCCTCTATCCCTCCCATAACAGCCACAGGTAGAGTGGGGGTGGGGAACAGGTCACTCACAAATAGCAGCAGACACCTGTTCTCTCGGACAGCGCCACAGCAGCCCAGGAAGCCTAGAAGAAACAGCAGACCACCCATGGCCAGGACGATGTAGGCGCCGGTGGTCAGCAGGGGGTTGGTAGCCACGATCTCCCGGAAGCCAGTGGGATCCACAAGAACCCAGATGCCAACGCCCAGCAGGCAGGCTCCTCCCAGCTGTCCATAGGCAGGCACGAAGAAAAGAGGACAGACAGACAGTGAAGTCAGATGTTCCTTCCCTCCCCTGGGTGAGGCCTGGAGCTGAGGGGCTGAGGCCTGCAGGCTTGGGCAGATATCATCATGCTGAGCTCAAATCCCCAGGGCCCACTGGCCACTTTGAGCCTCTGGGAGCTCCTTGACCTCCAGTGTAGCGAACAGCCTCTCAATCTAATGTCTGATCTGTGTGCCACCTCAAGCTGGAAAAGACTGTGCCACACATGGCTTATCTGTGACTTTCATATGCTCATAGGGAGCAGGACGTCACAGCTCCAAGCTCATGAGACTTCCACATTGTGGTCCAGGGGAGGCCGAGGACTCACAAAAGGTGACCTCACAAGTTCGTGGCAGAGTCAAGGCTGCAGCCTAGGTCTCCAGAACACTGAACAGCCTCTGTGAACAAGCTGAGTATGATGCTGAACTCACAGTGGTTACACCAGGGATAGGGTGTGCACAATGAATTCCCGTTCTTAAATACGTGCCAATGCCTCCCACTAGTCTCTGCATGGCCCATCTCTCTCCATGCCTTGCTCATCCTGAGAGAGAAGCAGCTTAAGCTGGAGCAGGAGCCATGTCTGCTGCTTATTAGCTGTGGGTCGCTTTGGGCTTCAATAGTCATCTGCTGACAAGGACAGTCCAGGCACAGGCAAAATGGGCTGTAGTCCCCAGCTAGGGGAATGCCACTTTCACACCCGTAGGCTACCTGGCCATAGGGCCAGGAAGTGGGTCCCAGGAAGACACACACACACAAAAAAAAGGTGTGAAAATGGACAGGCAGAAATGCAGATGGCCTACCACTGCCAGCAAAGGGAATGTTATTACAGGACTGTCCTGAGGGCCAGTGGTGGTGCCTGAGATGGAGGGCCAGGGAAGCCCATGGAGCCCAAGAAGTGGGGGTGGGGCTCTTCTACTGTATCGGATTGTGGGACTGAGCAGGGCACTGGGTGGGATGCTAGCATGGGGCAGGCTGCCCGACGACAGAGCCTCTGTCCCTTCATACCCAGCCCATGGTTGGGAGGGAGATGACAAGCTTGTGCTGTACTGGCCACATTCTAGAGATCTTGTTCACCAATCTTGCTAAATTTTCAAAAAGTCATGAAAATGCCGAGATTCGGAGTGCCTTCCAGGAAGGCTCTTCGGAGAAGCTTCCAGTTGCATAGGTGACTACAGGGCTGGCTGAACAGTTCTGAGGTCACTGCTTCATTATGCATGGGGGTGGGAGGCAAGCAGGCGCACATGCATGTGTGTGCGTGTGTGTGTGTGAGGAGTCCAGAAGTCAGTCTCAGGCGTTATTATCCAGAAGCCATCCACACTGCTTTGGAGACTGTTACATTAGGTGAACTCCCTGGGATGTATCCCAGAGCTGGCGTTTTGAGCACGTGCCATCACATTTGGCTTCTTATGTGGGTTCTGGGGATTGAACTTGGGTTGTAAATGAGTCATCTCCATAGTCCCTCTAGCTTTTCCTTTGCCAGAGGCTGTCCCATCCCAGGGACTGGCTGAAACGTCTACTGTGATGGCAGTAGGGGTGGGGACTCAGGAGTAGGGCAGTCAAGGCCAGGCCTCCCAGGAAGCCTACTGGTCAAGCTCATCTGCCTCTGGATAACTCAGCCTCCCGTGGTCATTTTAGGGAAGAGGCTATTGTCACCAGCAGAAGCCAGAGACCCAGGGGACCCCACGGGACACCTCAGGGGACACTTACAAATACGAAGAAATTGAAAACAAACATCAGATACTTCATGCAGCTCAGACAGTCGCCCTCCATGGTGATCCACCTGGAAAACATAAAGCCTCTCAATCCTGGAGACACGCAGACTCCTGAGGTTGGAGCCCAGTACCCGCCCCACACGGGAGACCCAGCAACAAGCCCTCTCTCAAGGCAAAGCTTTGCAACTAAGCGAGGCCAGCTGCAGCTTTAATCTGGAGTCCTAACTCTCATTCTCTAGTTCCCTGGCTCTGCTCTGTCACTTTCCCCTGAGAGACACACCACTGCACGCACACATACACACTCCACACACACTATGCACACACTACACACAGACACATTTTACACACATACAACACACTACACACAGATATACACTACATACATTTTACACACACACACACACACACACACACACACAAATAGGCGCTAAGAAACAGACTGTCCATGGAGTATAAGGCCACCGTGGTCCTCACTCCACTGAGCCCACAGGATGTGGGGAGCAGCTGTAATGAAGGCGGTGAGCACAGACCACCCTTAGTACTCTCGGGGATGGCCAGATCGCACAGTCTCTGTGGGGTTTTGTTTTAGAGTCTAGACCTCAAATGGCCTCAACATGCTGGAGCTCCTCGGGGGACTTACAGAGATGGAGGATTGAAAAGCTGACCCCTTGAAGGGTTCCTCCCTCCATATCTGGCTGAGGCTCCATCCTGTTATCTCCTCCTTCTTGCCAGACAGTGCCTGAACATCAGGGACCTTGCAGCAGTGACTCAGGTTGGGAGGTTGGAAGGATAGGGGTTTGCCCTGGGAAGCATGGATTGTAGTCAGTAGCTCTCTGACAGATTCCCTAAGGCCAGCCAAACCCTAGCTACCCTCAGTATCCTCTCTCACCCCCAAGCCCAGAACTCAGCCCTTCCTCTCCAGCAGGCTTAGGGGCCAGTGCCTTGGATTAGAAGCAGAAAAGGAGACCCTGTTTTTTAGATCGCTCAGGAGCTCTCTAGTCTCTGTGACTGTGCAGAACAAAACCCCATGAGAAGGATGAATCTTTGATAAAGACAAAGGCCATTGCATAGATAAAGTCCTTCAATCTTGGCCCGGAAGGATGGGAGCAGGGCCAGCCAGCATCCAGGGCCAACCTGACCTGGTGTGAACCCATCTCTCTCACTGGGGGTGAAGGACAGGAGAAGTGCAGTGGAGAGCAGGCTGGGAGTAAATTCCACATGGCCCTTCCACAAGACAGCCCAAGGAGACAGGAGTGGTAGCCAGGACCTGTTATCAGGGCTTGGGTACCTGTCCCAGAGACCATTCACCGAAGCCTCTGAGGGTCCTATGCTTGCAGATGCATGTCATGCAACTTACTGCTTCAAGTAGAATAAAACCTTGGGTCTTTGAGGGGTGACTTACAACTAGCCTGGGATACCTCACGTCAGTAGCACGTCAGTGAAAGTCATCCTTGTTGCTGAAGAGTTGACAGGTACTAATGTGGCCAGTGACCATGCCACGTAACCAGCCCAGCATCCTGCATGCACCATCTACTATAGGGGCTGTGTGGCGCACATGGGTCTCCGGAAGAGATGCTTCCCCAAGTGCCAAGTCAAGTATGTTCACTGAGACACTTCCAGTGTCCAGGATAGACTGGCCCAGTGGCGCCAATTAACACAACCTCATGAATGAGTGAATGAATACATGATGGAAAGAGAAAAAGAGACAAGATGAAAGAGTCAGCAACTCAGAAACAGAGACCCATCTGAAAGAGGGAAACTGAAGGGGACAGATGACAGAGTGAGCAAGGAGGGGTGCAGGAAAGGACATACGGATTGGACAGAGTCAGAGTGGGGCCAGTGTTGGGAGGCAGGAGCCTCACCTGGGCAGCTCTCCAGGCGTAAGCAGGATGAAGTCTTGTAGTCAGAGGGGCTCAGGTGTGTCTCCCAGCAGCTCAGCTTGTCCTAGAAGAGAAAGTTTACCATTACAGGATGGATACTGGGCATTGAGGCACAATGAGTGCAGGGCTATCAATAGGCACACAGGCAATGGTTCGCTAACTGGCCCATGGCGCTAATGAAAAGCTCTTAAGACATGGGGCCATGCCAGCTGGGGAGGGCTGCACTCCTTATCCTCTGCCTACACAGCAGTCCCGTGTACCCTGCTGGCTACATGGAACCCGTACCCTCATCAGTGCTGACCTGAGCTGATATTAGACTAAGAGGAAGTGGCAGGCTGGGGTAACCACCCACCTGATGCCACCTGGCATCTGCTAAGACACCTCTGCAGCAGGGCCATGGCACCAAGTCCTTTCCAGCAACACGGGCTCCCATCAGGGAGAAGTTTGATGTGGGGAGCCTTTCTTGATTCTGCGTGAAGATTTGCCAGAAGGTTCTCTGAGAGAGCCAGCTCCCAGCAGCGTAAAGGAAGCCGGGCTTGATCTATGGAGGCATGTGTTGATCGCACATGTGGGGAGTTCTGCAGTCCAAACTTGCTTACAGGCTATGTTCAAGAGCAGACCCGGTAGAAGGTCAATCTCTGCTAGTGAGGCTGGATTTGAGAGCACTTCTCAGGAGGAGGAGAGGATTTCCAGGGCTCAAAACACCTCCTCAGATGCTCTCCGTCAAGGGGAAAGCCTTGGGGCCAGTGAAGTATATGCTGGGTGACAGAGTCCCCCTCTCCCTATTGTCTCTTACTTATCCACTGATTCATCTGTCCATCCTTTCATCCATGCATTCATCTACCTACCCCCCCCACCCATTCACTCTTCCATTCACCTCTATACTACACCCACACATCCATCCATCCATCTATCCTGAAGATTCCCCCAGAAATTGGCTGTGGTGTCAGGGAGGTTCTGCCTTGGCAGAACTTCAGGAAGGGCAGAGAAGAGAGACTCTGGGTCTGACAAATCCAAGAGCTTTGGGCTAGAACTTCACCCAGGGAGAGTAAACTGAAGCCACCTGACTTGTCACAGCTCTGGAGTCACTCTGAGAGGCGTGGGTCTTCAGCTAATCCACGCCTGTCATGAGACTGAGGAGAGTAGGGCTGGGTCATGGTTTCCTGGGCCCTCCTCTTCCCATGCCCAATTCCAGATCTGGCCTAGCACCATCACATTTGTCTATCAACCCAGGAGAAGAGGGTGGCTATCAGTTACCTCCTCACCAAGGAAGCTCCACCACATGTCTGCTGTCTGCTGGCACACAGGCTTCTCCACTACTCCTATTGCCCTAATCCTTCCCCCTCCCCCATCCTCCTGGAGAGCCTATCTTACAGTCTGGCTCCTGTCTACCTAGAAAATATGGCCCCACCGATTCCATCACTGCTGTTTCAGAGTCGGAGACAACCCGTGTCTTACCAAGTCTCTTGAGACCTTGGGAAAGTCACTCTGAGAACTGCAATCAATGACCACCATTTGAAACCAAAGGTGGCCAAAAGAATCCATAGTGCCAGAGGAGAGGGAAGACTTGGGAGCTGAGGCACTGCGGTCCTCATGACACATGAGGAGAAAATGGTTGTCTGACCCAAATCACTGGCTGTGAGTGGAGCACAGTGTGGGGAGGAGCATGGATGCAGTGCACAGTCAGCATTGGTACAAGTGGCTTTGCCCTCAGTGGCCCTGCATTTAGATTAACTGTTCCAATACTGTGCCACTTAATAGTAACTATAAGATAGAGCATTTACCAAGCAAGCACTTGGTTGGCTCTGCTCAGCCTTCTCCTGTGCTCTCTTGTTAAATATTTATGTAGGAGGTGGTCCTCAGGAGGCCCCTTACAGGTGGGGAAACTGAGGCTTAGAGATGATAATGGGGTTGCCTGAGTTCACCTACTTCCTTAGTAAGATATTGCCAGTCCAGACACAGGTCATTTAACTGAAAACCAGAGCTCCTGGCAAGATAGTGTTTTATGAGGCAACAGAGGCAGAGGCAGTCCCTCCGAGAGGAAGAGCCATTCCTTGGTCTCCAACATCCCCGATTTGAGCACAAAGCCTGGGAAAGCTGCTCAAATCCTCCCCCAAGCCAGTGGGAGGCTGTAGGGGCAGGACCTGGCCCTGCCATCCTCTGACAGATGGGAGTCCCTAGGCCTAGTGAGGGCAGGGATGGGGCCGAGGTTACGCGGTGCCCTGGGGCTTGCCTCAGCAGGCTCCCGACTGGGCCAGACAGCTTTATTAATCTTGCCCCTCTCGGGGCCCCAGATGGCAGCTCAGCCCATCTGCAGGGGTATGGGCCTGGGAGGGGTGCTCTGAGAAAGAAGAATAGCTGGGTTCATAAATCACTTCTTTTGCCTTCAGTGCCTCAGAGCAGGCTGGAGAGACCATCTGAGGAAATACATTCAGACCCAGCTCTTCTTGCATACCAACAGAGGGTGCTATGGTCCAGGGCAAAGCCAATGCAGGGATCCAGTGCAATCAGTGTTCAGATTATACTTGGGTGGCTGTGGATATCTCCTGTTCCCTCTCCTCTGTAGGAGCTTGTACCCCTCACCTTAAACACTCAAACCCAATTCCCCACCCCCTGCTCATGGTCATTGCTAGGATGGAAGAGGCTGATGAGCTACAAAAATTTAAACAAAAAATTTAAAAGGGTACATTTCCTTTTCTCTCTTCTGCCAGTATCTACTAGAACCAGTGCTGGGCTTGGTCCAGTGGAGGCCAATGGCTGTGCCCTCCCTCTGCCGCTGCCACCACCACTCAGGTCTAGTGAAGATAATAACCCAATGCTCTCAGAAAGCAGTGTGAGCAGTCGAATCCTCAGAGTGCCCTGGACATGCCAGGCAGAATACAGGATAGAGTGTGCAGGCCCTGTGTCTGTGGTAGGGAGCCCCCGGGGGGGGAGGGGCTTTTTTTTAAAATGTGAGCTGCAGCTGATGCCAGACTATGTAAGCTCACTTGATTCTCCAAAAAAGCTCAGCAAAGTACATGATCTTATTAGCATCCTGGGTGAAATGAAGCCACGAAGGCTGCAGGAGGCTAGAAAGTCCCAGGACTGGAAAAAAAAAATGATACAGAGCTGAGAGGGGTGCTTAAAACCCACGCTAACACTTAGAGCACTAGTGAGAGCAGACCGGTTCTGGCCATCACGTTCTGGCTGCGTCTGGGGAGGGTTTGTTTGTGCACTGGTTGTGCCCCTGGGCCTCTTCCCAAGACAGACAGGCTGGGCTCGTAAACAGGCAATTGGCCTGAAATCCTGGGGAGTCTGCTCAAGGCACAGGGCAGACACAGGGAAGGGGGGCGGGTAAAAGCCTAATTAGGCTTCAGAGGGGCAGTGCCTGAGGGGAGGGCTGCTGTAGTCAAACTGAATTCAAAGGACAGCCTTCCCTGCTGGTTGTTCACTGAGCTGTGAATGTCCAAAGCCCAAAGCCGTGGGGCCAGGCAGCATCTGGGAGGTCCCATCTCAAGATTGTGAGCCCAGGCAGGTTTGGGGCACGGGCTCTGCCACGGGACCCTGTTGCATTCAGACATTTCCTGGGGCACCTCCCACCAGAGAATCCTCAAAGACAGCAACTTGGTGGGAACCGTCTCCAACTCCTCATTTCACAAGGCACAGGCGTGTCCGGAACCACAAGCTCTGGCAGCCTGTGGCCCTACCCTTTACTCTGCGTTCTCCGCAGAATGTGCTTTGCTTTGGGTTGAGTCACAGAAGCACTTGGCACACTGTCCTCGCCGGTCCTCCACCATACAGGTCAGAAAGAGCTACTGAGCCAAAGTGCTTTTCCCTCCAGGGAGGTGACACCAAGGACAGCGAGGCTGCTGAACTCTGTAGTTCCAAGTGCTGGGCTGCATATCAGCTGCAGAAGCCTGGGTCCTGGGCCTTGCTCAGCAAGTCCTCACCCTCATCTGCAATCCCTTCCTACCTTTCATCCCTCAGAGCCTGGAGTTGGAACGAGACCCTTTGAAAGGCTTAGTGATCCATCCCAAAATACGTAGTGCTGTTGCTGGGGCAACCTGGCCCATCACACAGCCAAGACTGAAATGTTGAATGGGTTCACGGGTATTAAGGGGGCCTGGGAACTGGGAGGGCAGGGGCGCAGGTCTCGGTGCGAGAGAGGGGGTAGTGGAACCCAGGAATTCCTAATGGAGCTGCCTCCCAACCCCCACAGGAAAAGGCTCCTGGTCATCACTGCTGTGATGTGTCTGACAGGTTCAAACAGGTGACGCGGGGAAGTCAGGCAGAGGGAGAGATAAGGCTGAGAGAACGGTGGTGGGGTGGGCTATGGGGAGGGCCTGAGGGAATTCTCCACTTGTAAATGGAAACTGGAAACTGCATCTCCCCGTACATATTGGCACCGGCTCACCTGAACCTTACCATAACCTTGGCTGACAGCTGAGGAGCCAGTCACAGGTAACCTGCCCAACGCCACACAGCTGCTAAGCTGCAGACTGCAAGCCAGTGCTCTTCCTACCCAGCCTATCTGCTAGAGTATCTGAGTATCAGAAAACTCAGTGCCAGCAGCAAACGGGAGCAAACAGCAGCAAACAAGAGGCACGCTCACTGGTCCCCGCTCCCTTTCACAGATGGGGAAACTGAGACCTCAGTTAGCACAGTCTCTACACAGCCAGTGGGTCTTAAAGACCTTCAGAGAGGACAGCCTCACTCTCATGTCTTTTCAGGTGGATAAGTTCTTTCTGGTCTCTAACCAAATTCACACCTGCTTTACATTAATCACAGCCTAATGCCATCTCAATTCTCATGTCTGACAGCTCCCGAGCTCTTCATTCCATGCTCTCACTTGATTCTTATGACATCCAGAGAAGCGGAGGTGACAGTTTTAGGGGGAGAGGGGTCCAGAGAGGTTCAGGAGCTGGACTGAAACGGCACAACTACACTTAGACTTGCTTGCTTCGGCCCTTGACCTTCAGTTTTTCTGCCAACATGATGTCCTTCAGCACCCCTGCACCTCAGCACTCTGTCAGCTTCACCATCTGTCTGTCTCTGCAATGAGTCTGACTTCCTCTTGCCTGACTG